TCAATTCCCAAACGGGTACTACTTTCCGGATGCCCCTCGTAATTATGAATCAAATTAGTCGAGAAATGTAGTGGTTATCTTTAGTCTTGTTCTACAAGAAGATTCAGGTATGACTCGACTGGCAAAAAAATTAATGTTCCTACATTCCAACCACAATTTTTTGCGTCGAAGACGCTTTTTCAGTTGCCAATTTTCTGTCAAATACGCACATTAAATCGTTTTGTAAAACTGATCAACATACGGAAAAGCGTAACAATGTCGCTAAAGAACTCTATTCTAATTACAAGTCATACATTATAATGTACATACGCAAGTGACCTGCAAAAGGATACAGCTGAAAAATACTGAAAATCCAAGCCAAATATGCAGTCGAAGACAAGGCTGCTCATACACAATACAAAATGCGACGAAGATTGCACTAGGAAAGATATGTAAACTACGTAAAAACAGTACAGAGTAAACAACAGTAAAAACTACGTAACAAGAACACAGAATCAGAAGAAGAATCGATCAGACGACAAATGAAGATTTTATGTGCGACAGCTTACCGTTTTACTTCAGCTTCCCTCGACACGCCGGCAGGCTGAACAAGAGGCTGTGATCGCACGAAGGAAGCTCGTCCGGAACAAGAGATGCCTGCTGCTGCTCCTCGGCTATCGTCGTCAGTCAGGCTTTCCTCTGCACACAAACACCAGACAATGAAATACGAGGAAGATGAATATCACGGGTTAAGTAATATAAGAAATATGCTTCATAAGTTTAAGCGCAAGGCAAAAAAAAAAACATTTCAAATAGAAAATGTTTGTAGACACTCCGCAACCCCCCAAAAAAATACAAAATAAAAAATATAACTCAGTATTCACTGCAGTGAGTGATAGAGAGCGCATTTTCTCGTTGACGAAAACTTGAGGTCACGGACTGACGGACGGACAGACAGACAGACAGACAGACAGACAAGACAGACGGACAGACGGACGGACATGGCGAGCACAATAGTGCATTTTTTCCATAAATGAGAAAATGCGCTAAAAATACCCAAAATTGTCATTCAAATATTGAGCATTTAATATTTAGGTTGAAATTTTAAAACTATAATTAGGCACAAAAATTTCACTTTAAATAAATACCAGGAAACAAATGCATGGAATTTGCATCGATGCAAGAGAAACAGAAACGTGCAGAGAAATTAACGCGGGAAGCTAGCAGTCACATTTTAGTTTGGAATGCACCAAACCGTGTAATTCAGAAGCGCCGGCGTAGTTAATGGATGCCTTTTTATGTCCTGTAGGTACCGCTTGGTTAAATAGGTTAAAAGCAATTAGTTTAGCAGGCCATTTATGGAAGCAGCAAATTGCATGTTTTTATAAGGCGGTACCTTCGATGAACGTCGAGGAGAGGTCGCTCACTCGCGTCATGCTCGGAGAACGCGACTCTGCGTCAGCATAGCACATCCATTCAGAATTATTGAAGATAACCAAACTCGTTGAAATTGTCAGTAATATTGTGAAAATTATCAAAACTTTTTGAAGATTTTTGAAGATAGCCTAAATCGTCGATATTATCCGCAATATTGTGAGAATCATCGTAACTTTTCATTCATAGCCGAAGTCTATAGTACTATAGCACAATATTCTTTCAAATATATTAGTTATATTAGACTAAGAAATGTAAATCATATGACAAGAAAACACGGTATGAAATTGAATCTTGTATAGCGTGTAATGAACATAGATCAATGCTGGTTACATATGATAAATTAACGGCATTATAACTAATTAAGGATATGCCATCTTAACATTATAACCGTAATATTTGATGAAGAAAATATTTTGCTCGAAAAGATTAAAAAAAACTTAATCTTCCTTCAACTGAACGCGTTTACACTGTAGACCTGCTAATGATTGACCTATGTAAGTATTAAAATCACTTGGCTGCTTAAGTCGCAAATTTACCAGGAATTTTAAAGTAAAGAAAATAGCCAAAAAGTTCACCATTTCTTATAAGCGAAAACGTTTCGGAGTCCAGCTCCATCATCAGTGCAAAACTTCATTAATACGATTTTGACCAAAATAGGACCTACAAATTGCCTAAGGAATGCAAAACCTATTGCATAGGTTTCAACTGTTTCAAGTGGATACGAACTCATAACATCGTTTACTCAGGTGACTTCATAGTTTAAAGAAGGTGAGAGAGTACCACAGGAAGCTATCGCTACAAAAGTTTCTTTACGATACGGTATGCTGCTAATCTATCCACCGCAGCTATTTATAATCGTCCAATTGTGAAACTCCGAAGATGAGGATCAACAATGATTGAACCATAACTGATGACGTGAGCTCTAGATACAAGAGCAGCCATTTAAAGTGCTACTTTTGAGGTGCTACTTCAAGATCCCGAATAAATTTATCGAACTGAAACTTTAAACGCGTGCTGCGTCTCAGCTTTACCAGGATTTCTAAGTAGAAGCCGAGCCAACTGCCACAACCAAACATGATTGAGGCTGATCTTTCCATCATAGAAGACCCGGTGCGGTACTCAATAGTAGCTCTATCGTCCCCTTAGAATTTAGATAATATAATTATTATTTATTAGAAATGATACATGAACGTGCGTTGATGTATACAATGGCAAGTGCGGATCCTAGGCCATCAAAGTTCTTTGATGCACCATTGCGAAACAAACAGTTTTTGTATTCTTCAAAGCTCATCTTAGTAACAAATAATCTATATACTCGATGAATCGATACTAAACTTTTTTTCACCGCGACATTGACAAATATACACTGTAAACTGTTTAAACGTTGTTAAGGCGTCAGCAAACTTCATTTCTTTTATAAACGTTACGAATTTGTTCAGTCAGAACTAATTGATGACAGATGTGTTTTGGTGAGAGCTTTCAAAATAATTGGCTCCTGTCCATGGAAAAGTTAACCGATTTACGGTAGCTATACGAAACACACAACGGTATATTTTTGTGTCAGAAACGCGATCATTTTCTGGATTAATAACAACAGGTTTGCCTCAAATGTCAATTTTTTCAATAAGATGTGATTAAGTCGACGTAAAAACATTAGAAAAATTAAATTTTCACCAGAAAATACGTCAATTAAGCTTATGTTTATTGATTCACATCTGCAAATGGACACGATCGCGTTCAATGCCAGTTATTACAACATTTCTCTTTAACTTTAACTAAAAAACGGGTCATCACATTAATAAATAAATCGTTGCGTACTATATTTCGGGTTAGGTATGATGAAAACAATATCCATTTGACTCGTACTACTGTATTATATAGGCAGTCGAAAAATTTTAAAACTTGACGATATGTACAAATTTCAGCTTTTAATTAAAATTCATGAATAGGGCACTCTTCCACGATGAATGTCTTTTTAATTCTGCATTCGCCTATCTTGTTCCCCTACATTCCCATGACACCAGGGGCATGCATTTTAACTTACCCCCGGTTCGGTTAGAAATTGAAAGAAACGGGACAGTTTTTAATTGTGTGAAATATTTTAATGAATTACCTGATGATTTTAAAATTGTTCTAAATTCAGTTTGAAGACTAAATTCTGCGATTTTATTCTTACTCGTTATTAATTTGACTCCGATTAGTTTTGTAAGATTTTGGTAATTGCCTTCTATCAAATATATTTTTGAAAAATAATTTGGTGTAATTCAACATTGTTTCGCCTTTTCGTCTTAGTTGTATTTAATTTTTTTCAGGTAGGGTTGTTACTGCCTTGTTGAATATCATTTTCAGTCGCCATGATAGTTATTCTTATATCAGTTTTACTAAAGGTTAGTTTTTATCAGGACGTTTTCAATTTAGTTTTTTTTCTGTTCCCTTTCGTCTTATCCAATTGGCCTCCTCGCCGATTCTGACCAGAAACTGGCGCACAGAGCTGGGATCGAACCCACGCCTCTCTGCGCCAATCCTGGTACTCTGAACTTTAACCACTGGGCCACCCTGCCCCACCCTGTTATTGTTCTTCGATTGTAATTCCGCTAATGTCGCCTGTGAAGCTTTTTTGCTTATATGGGCATTCACATGGAAGCATTTTGTATTTTTTTCTCCAAATTTTTGCTATTTTCTTGTCATGAATTTTTTTGTATGCTCCTGCGTGAATAAAGAATAAAGAACACTTCTTGTTTGTTTGTTTGTCTGTCTGCTACAAATCTTGTAATCGAAATTTAATACACTTCTACTTATCCCATCGATCTGAAATTTTGCACACTTGCGTAAAGTTGAAGACAATGCACGAATCAAGTGACAAAATAATTTTAGGAATACAATTTTTTTTCAATATTAAAAAAATAATTTTGTCAGCTACAAATCCTATAATTGATATTTGACACACTTTTACCTGTCCAATTGATCGGAAAATTTACACACGTGTGCGAAGTCGGAGGCAATACATGAATCTATTGACAGAATAAATAATTTTGAAACAAAATTTTATATATTGAAAAATTGAAAAATTAATTTTTGTAATATTCGAAAAAAAAATGAGAAATTCATTGTACATCTGTAACATTGAAGACACTGGATTCTATAGAAGTGTTGTCTTTAAAAAGTAATTTTTAAACGTATATTATTAAACTGGAATCGAATTTAAATTCTGAACATTCACCATCATCTTCATATGTATATTAAAATTGTGCTCCCATATATTGATTTATTAATAGTAGAAAACGAATTACAGCTGACAATTCAAACATTGAAAGAAGCAACAAAAATCTCGACGGTGTCAATGCTCAATTTTCTGGGCCATTTCCAGTTCTTTCTTAAAAGAGGACCTACGCTTTCTCAACATAAATTTATGATGTAATAACCAAAAATAGTTTTTGTAATAAATTCTCACGTGCGTGTCAACACATTCCCATCCATTTCGGTGTGACCAAATATTCCGTGATCTTGCCATTCATTGTGACAGGAGAGCGGTTGATCCGTGTTGCGACTTGACGCTCGCGAGATGAAAAATGAAACCAAGTTTACAGTATAGCTGGTTTTAATATGAGCACCAGAATTACGGAGTAAAGAGCGCTATGCAAGAATATTTTTTTGAATCTATAATATGAATAATAACGTCTAACACACCAGTTTATGCTTCTAGCGCACGTGATGAAATTCAAATTGTAGACGGATTTACGGACAAAAAAATCGATCAAGCTTATATAACGGGCACCGATCAAAGATACTTTGGATAAGATTGAACCAAATGATTCAGTGTAAAGGTGAACGAACAAATAATCAAATTTGTGGAAAAGAAAGTATTCACTGTAAAAAAAAACTCAAATGTAAGTAGCTCCAAACACCATACAAAGTAATATAATAGACAGTAAATGGAACACACACTTCTGTATATCTCTTAATAATAAACTGAAACCTAAATTTGTCGAGAAAAAAAAAAATAGGCGAGCCCCACTTCTAACAGTGGCATTAAACTTAAGATTGACGAGATAAATAGAATGGAATCCATAAAAACAAAAGTTAGAAACAAGCATAACTGTCTCCGTACAGAACCAGAATGTATATGAAAAAAAAAAACTAGAGAAGGAAAAGTGTAAAGCAAATGACTAAGAAATCAAGCACACAAAGGTCTAGTTTCAAACTAAAACAACATAAGTTATATAGATTTAGAAATACGAACAAAGAAAAGTTCGGTCAATATTAAACGTAAATGTAGTCTGGGTGAAGCATCAAATTTAGCTACCTACACCACACGTCGTCGAACAAGAATTCAGTAGTGTGTTCCTCGTAAATAAAACTAAATTCTCTCATTTGGTATGACCATAAAATAAATTAACCGGAGGAGCTCATTCAGTCAGCCTATTTGAATTCCGGCACACGTATACAAGTTTCAAAAGAGTAATGCGGTACATAATAAAGAAGTTAGCCGACGCGCGATACCATATCGTGCGAAACCATATCCTAGTGACAATTAGACTTCAATGCTAGGACATCCAATTTCACGGAAACAAATGAGACACTTGACTTAAGCTGCCTCCACGATTACGAGTCAAAAGTCCAGTCCTATAAATTTGTGCCTACTTCAGAACTTTACTCCTTAGTCGCTGGAATTATTTTTGCTTAATTCGACAATCATGTATCAACACCCTGTATGCATCTACCGTTCTGCTGACTGGAACAGCAGTACAAGGAATGGAACATGGTACTCATTGTTCAAGGGCTCTACTCTAACAAATTGCTCATTTATCTGCTTCGAATCACCGTCAACTAATTCGATAACGCTAATTTGATCAGCGCATATTTACATTACACATAAGAAGGCGATTAGCTTAAAGTATCATCACTCTATTAATGCACTTCTTGAAGTTCGTTCCATCATTATTAATTAAAGAATGATACACAAAATTGCTATGAGCCTAATTTGGTCACTATCAAAATAGTTTTACACAGAACTTTTGTGACGTAGAGGTTTCAACGTAATTGTAGTACATGATTCTAGATGACCATTCAAACATTTCATAGGTCGATTATTCAAGTGCAAAATTAACTATCATGCACGAGTTCAATGAAAATCAGAAACAATTGTGTTTATGTTACAATGTATGAAAAAGCTGCAGATGAAAGTCTGCTACCGTGGGACAGACTATAATCTGCTCACGAGAGACGCAGCGATAGCGCGTAACTAGGCCTAAGTGTCACCGCTATAGCCCAAGACAGCAAACATAAACTGTGCCTCATCACATTTCATTCACTTTGGTAGTGGAAACAACATTTAATCATTTATATCATTGCACGAACAATTTAATGCGGTGTTATCTAAAAAGTGACAGGCCTCTAGCTTGTGAAGAACTTTAAGGGACTATAGCATAGCATCGAACCCATTAATGCTGCATGCAAAATTTCAGACATTTAAAATGACGCAAAATGATCGTATTATAAATGTCAGATCGTAAGTCTGTTCAGATTTTGGAATCATTTTTCAAGTTAAAATTGTACATCACAAATGGGATGTCGTGACTTTAAAATTTGCGAGCGGCAAATCTGTCAACAAAATAAATAGTACGATGATAAAATGACAGAAAAAAACAGGAAATAAAAATAAATATAGGCTTGTGCCTCAATAATTTCACTCAATGAATTTCTCGACCTAATCTCTGCCAATCATCAGTACAACGGATCATAGGCTCTGCACGCGCTTTGCACTTCGCACTCTTATCTTAATTCATCTACAATCACGACTGCACTTTATCATGCATAGAAAGATGAACACAGTTTCTACTAAGAGAAAAATTCCACTAACGCTTGTTAATTAATTAAATATGAACTTTTAGGATAAATAATCGCAATTTTCATTAAATTACACACATCATGCAACTGCACAACCCCAAGAAAAACGCCACATAATAAATTAGACAAACATGAAAAATATGAGCAATAGTGTAAAATAAGTAGGTATATAACACCAGAAAGTTATAATCATTTGTAGAAATTACAAAAGAATACAGGATTTAATAAAGATAAAGTGCTCCCTTCGCAGCGAAACATTTTCATTGTAAATTCATTACACTTCACTTCAACGTTTGACCAGAAGTTCACAGTACTTTTTTTAGACTTTGTGAAATATGTTTCCTTAGTTTCCTTAGTTTTGAATGCTAAGTTTTGATTAAAATTTAAAAGAGTATAACAGGATGAAGACAGTAGTGTTTAGGGTAAATTACGATTTGGATTGAGTTGGTAAGAGATCAATTCAAGTGTCAGATAAAGTATAAGGTTTCTCTTTACCCCAGTAAGTAGTTTCACGAGTTACACACATAATGCAGAAAAACGAACAGGGTTTGATTGCAGAGCAAAATCATAAAAGGTAAAGTGAATAACGATTGTTATTTTACATACAAAAGAAATACACGCAAACTTAACTGGTAAGTTAACTACCTATACTGCATAAAAAGCTCTATCTAGTCGTCGTATGAGTAATACTAATATGAATAATACAATCAAGACGGCTCTTCAAAAATACACGGCGCCCTTTGAGCATAATGAAACCCATCTATCCTTATATTCTACGAATATATATATTGCATCGTATCGTTTACCAACTGGATTCAAAGAGTTGCGACTTGAATATTTGACAGATGGTTGGACAAGACGTGAATAAATATAATTGAGGCTAATCAAAAACGCAAAATACGATGAAGTGATAGAAAAAATCGCGACAATGTTATATGTGTAGACAACAGTACAAGGTTAATACGAATATTTATAAAACAACATACAATAATTAGTGATCAAGTAAAGTACAAAGAAGAGTGTTGAGACAAAGCTTGTGACAAAAATAGAAGTCGATAATGAGAAGATCTCTTAACTTAACAAGTGCTACCAAACATCAAACGACTAACGATACACAAATCGTGCAAGATAATGCCTCTATACGGCGCCAAACATCAAAACACACTTAAAGCTTCAAAAGTAAAACAATCTCGTCGACTGATATTCCATTCAAAATTAAACCTGGGCCTAGAATTGGAAGAAAAATGTCTCGTAAGATTGCCTGCTTCACTAAGATGCCCTACTCGCATTTTGCTATAGCAACTACGAACTACTAACTGGCGTTGCAGGGGTAAGGAAAAACGCGCTCAGATTTTAAGTTAAGCGGCCACGATCATTTATCAGCGGCATGCATCGCTAAGTAAAGGCAACCGTTGATCAGTATAATGTACTTAAAAGATATCACAATAAAGCGGCGACACTTCTTTGGAATAGAACGTCCCAGCGTAATCACCATCATTACAAGCACATTCGGAGTATATTGCAAATTGGTTAAATATGAGTTATATGCGTTTTCATTACACCACACCGTAGCAAGAATGAAAAACAATGAATTGCTATTTAAAACACTTGATTTAGTTGCAACGTACACAAGTCGTGTAGGAAAATAGAGCGAGTTTTTCCGACGAATAAACTCGAACAATTAGAAGCGGTTTCATATAAATAGGTGGAAGTATTGAAATCGACCCTGTAAAGTTTAGAGTAAGAGTGCGAGAGATGTCTCAATCATTTCTAGGTTGAACTGTTCTAAAAACTGGGCCAGGGTTACAGGATATTCAAGTTCAGTACAGTTATATGCAAAATTAAACACTCGCAATAGAACAGGAGTACAATTTTTCGAAATAAATAGTACTAGATAATGTGAGGTGTTAAAAGATCACTGTGAGACGAGCTGGATTAGCTTTAAGAAAATCTTCCGCAAGGCGGGCATGCAAAATAGACACAGTTAGTTGAAATATTTCGCCTAGAATGAAATTTAAATTGGGAGCCTTTGCAAATTCCTTCTTCCTTGTAGATCAATTAAGAGTTGCTAAAATGAAAAAAGACGTACTGGTAACTCTGGATCTAAGAATAAGTGGCGGGGCAACGTTCCTCAGCGACATCATACGCCGGTTTCTCGTCTTACTGGTACCTGGAGTCCTTTCCTTATCATCACAGTTTCAATGTCACGGTCCTCTTCGATGTATCTGCACAAAAATTTGAATAATTCATTAAATTAATCAGTTATATAGTAAGATGGTTTATTATGGCAACAGGCATGAAGCTGGCACCGCAACTCACAAATTAAAACATTCATTCGTCCCTCAAAAGAAGAGGAAGGTCTCAACGCCCATGCCGCTGAATTTAACTAATAATCAAGATGGAATCTCTGAGAATTGAAAAAACGAAGGAGCAAGCGAATTATAATGGAAAGGAAGACACAAGAGGTCGTTTGCACGAAACTTAGGTCCTAGTAGTAGGTTTTCTAGCGCTTAAGAAAATCGATATCTACTTCGCGCAATAGGTCCAACTCTCATTTACGCAGAGTCATTATTCTTAAGTGTTTCAGACTTGTAATCTGGTCAAGCGTTACATGCTTGTAATTAAAGCATTGAGCGCACAGACTGAATCCACTAATAACGCTTTCAATTTCCTGAATGGGAAGATAATTTGTAGACGTGGCTTGAGCGCGGACATGGACAGGGTCGTCCACAAATAGCTAGAGGAGGAAGTCGGCTCAGGGAAGTGCAATAATCTTGCCAGAATAACATACGAATCCCACAATACCGAAAACCGCAGTCGTGTGAGCTCTCTAGAACAAACGCCTCAAGTAACGCACAATTACTAAGAGCTCCTGACCACAGATAGACGAGAGAGGAAAAGCCTTGAAAGAGGTCAATTTACTTGAAGTAAATATACACTAAAATTCCGTGATACCACTTGACCTCGCGCGCGGTTTTAATCACGAACAACACACATGACTTGGGTTTCACAACATCAGGATACTTATTTTTTACGGAGATAGAAATGCTCAGCTTTAACTGATCAAGAGAAGAAGGCAAAGGTAAATTTGAAATTTGCTGCACCTAAGCTGTGAGCGAATTGCTTACCTAAGTCGGTCCTGCTCAAGCATGGCTCTCAGATGGTCCCTCTGCTCCCGAACTGAAGTCAGCTCCTCCAACAGCTTCGGGTCGAAACCTGCACGTGTATAACACTTCATTAATGTGTTACGATCCTCGAAACGTTATCATAAATAACCAATTATAAATTACTTATAAGTTATTCCCTGGCTCAATATATACAATCTTCATTTCCAAGTAAAAGAATTCAGAAAGAGTTTTAAATAAAACTATATGATCAGTTGAAAAACACAGCTTCATTTGTAATGAGTACGACATAACAGAAAAATTATAGAGCAAACTGTCCACTGCCTCCTTCCACAAACAATATACGAAAATTCATGAAGACTTATATTTTAAACTAGCAGTTTATCAGCATTATTTGCTACGTCTCACCAGGCACAGCAGTTCGCTGCTGCAGCCTGGCATCTCTGTCCTCCAGTTCGAGTTGTCGGGCGCGTATGCTAAGCTCTTGTTCCCAGCGCGCCAGACCTGTCTTCTCGTGCACTAGACTGAACCACTCGCTCATGAGCTCTGACTCGTCCCCCACCTCACCGCCCTTCAAACAAAACCTTCACATATAGCCTTTCTTGACACTATTCATATTGTTTTTTAACAGCCACTGCCACTATAAACAAATTATGTAACTAATATCAATATGAAATTATCAAAACTTCTGGAATTTATATACCATATGGTATAAATCCATACCAGGTATAAAAAAGTGATATTAAACGTAAGCATGTTAAAATGTCTGCTTGGTACGCACAGTCTCGCCCCTGAGGCTGCGTTCCACCACAGCTCCTCGGTGCTCAAGCTCTCTGGTGCGGGCCTCGCATTCCCGCAGCTGCCGCTGTATCTCCTGTGCCTGCCGCACCCTGCACATACATCGTCACGTATTATTCTTCTTCATAAATCAATATTAGTAATTTCCCATTATTGCTAGTTGTTTCCATAACGCGATATGGAATTTAGATTGCTTTTTAAGTAACTTTACCCTTGATAAACATTCGGGCAAAATGTAGGATGTTACATAATAAAATTGTTGAGAGTAAACTTTATGGACGCCTAATGATGAGGCTGAATGAAAATCAATGAAGGCAGTTGAAGCATAATCTGGAACAACTCCAGAAGAATAGAATGGCGTGAGCTAGCTAGCGGCTTGCTAGGGTGAAATGAATATAATAAAATCAATCTTCTTGCACAATGAAAATTTATAAAAAAAGAAGCTATCATTATATTCCAATACTCACCCTGGGGAATAGCTAGCCAAAGCAAATTATCTGTCAAGAATTATTTGACAGCGGAGTGCTAATGCGAGTCCACATCACGATAGCTCTGGGAATGGTATTTTTATCGTGTTGATTACGATTATCTGCTTAGTGCTTCTAGGAACAGTATATTGGTCGTGCTGAACACGATCATCTGCTTGTCGGTCACGAGAACAGTATATTGACCGAGCTTCTTGAATGATAGCGTAGAACTTGTTCATAACGATCGTCATCTTATCAGAGGCAGTCATAGAAGTTCTTAGTAAGACTAGTCAGAAATCTATTGTTACGGATTTCAGTCACTTTCGTTACGGATTATTATCATTATTAATTGTTGAGTCTTCAGCAAGTTCGCACGTTTCGGATTTTTTCCAGTTCGTCAGATATAAATGAAATATAGGAAATACATGAAACTCGCAAGGATTTAGCATTGTTCTGAGTCACAAGAAGGGATTATCAAGTATCTATTCGCTCGCACACAATAAGTAAGCCTCAATAAAACTTAAATAAATTCCGTGAAATAAAAGAAACTGAAAAGCATAGTAGAAACCCGAGTAATAAATATCACGTCAAGTTAATATTATTGATAAAACGGAATTCACGTTATTAAATTTAACTTAACACCAGCAATCAAGCTCAACGTCTTCCATAGACAATGTATTTATGAGAAGCAGACATCGTGAGGATCATCATTTCCTTCAAGTCAATCGAGCTAAAATTAAATTGATTAAGAAAGAGCAAAGCTTTCTTCAAAAAACACTAAAACCAATAATTTAAGTTCAAAATAGATCGCTACAGGAGTCCAACTTAAATCCAGCGAGATTTTAAAAACGAAGTGTCAAAACAAATCATTGACACTTGAGTGTTAGATCAAACAAATTCATCAGTAAGAAGTAGAACATATCCTCGTCAGTATAAATTCGCATCCTATCTATTATTAATAAATGTTGTGAAGAAACAAATAGAGATAGTAACTGTATTTTATGAGATAATTATATTAATATCACAAAAAATTATCTCACCTTTTATGTCTTTTCCGAACCTATGTTATTGAAGAGACACGGCCGTTCAATCCAACTAATTGATCGGCGAAGCCACAACATTTAAGAATAGAGGGAACGTCAGCCAATAGACTTCAAGAACATTCTTTTATTCTATCACCAACGATAACTTAAATTAGTGCAAAAAAGTAACAACACAAATGCTCATATTGAGAGATTTTATTTTCATGCAAAGCACAAAACAGTCATGTCCCTGTGTGATGAAACTTAATAATCTAGTATCATGATTCCCGAAACAAAGCCATGTCATTTCCTATACCATCCACGAATCTGGTCCACCTCCTAAACATGAGTACAAACAAGACCACGGTGATTGGCTTTGACCTTTTAAGCGACCACTTTTGACTATTGGCTTTTTGGAAACTGCATCGCAATGGCGATGAGCTTGACTTGAAACAACATCATTTACAGATTTCTCGTCAAAAATGTCCGGTTCTTCAGCACTTTCCCTGCGGAGCACCGCCAGCGCTGTAGAGTTTGAGATGCGGTTCCGGAGATCATAATAATTGACATCACAGTCATAGCGTGAAAATTCAGGCCTTTTATTTTCGGCAGAGAAATTCGACTCGCCGGGCATTTCGGTACTAATATCAACCGCCGTGATATCATCAACTGGTAAATGAGAAATTCCAGCACCAGAAGACGTTTTCCCATCACAAACATCATTCGCAGGTCTAGTTGCCATCAAGCGAGGGACTTCGTGAGCGCAACTTCTTGGAATCAATACAGGAGCATTAGTGCAGCCAGACGAAGAGGCTGTAGCAGTAAAAAAAGTAGATGCCGAAGACGTCTTCATATGTTGATGAGTCATGAACAATGCCTGAATCTCCGACCTAGGAGCGGTGGCACACGATTCAAACGATGGCGCTGGATCTCTTTGTATACTACGTACTACACAATGAGAAGCCACTGGCGAGTACAGACTGGCACTTCTCTGTAATGTACGTCCACACGCTCGTCTGGATTGTTTGCGAACCGCAGTATCGTTGGCTGAGTTACATGAAGAATCGTCAAGAAATGATTGACGTCTCCAGTGTGGCTTTGAAATGTGGTCGCTGCTTGCCCCGATGGCATAGTTTTCAAAGTTAGCCGTCAACGTTTTGACGACTCCTACAGGTAAACTTCTCCTTGGTAAACTTCGATCTCCGACTAACTCCATTGCTCTACTGCCCAAACAAAATTAAACAAAATAATAAAGATAGAGTTTAAGAGTTTAGACGGAGTGGCCAAGCAAGCAATGTAAGTGTGTTTAACAAGCAAAAGCATTGGGAAAACGGAAACTTCCCTTGAAAGCACACAGATTTGAGCAGTAGTGATATAACAAAAAACATAACACGAAGCACATTCAAAATCTGACGAAAGGAACAGAGAGAGCCACAATACAAACCAATATAGAACAGACACATATAAAACAATTGTGCACACTTAAAGCTGAAAGCAACCATTGGGTGCCATAAAAAGATATAAGATACTAATTCAATAGTAAATACAAAGATAAAGCAGCAAATTATAAAGCCAATAAATATTTTCTGGTTTATTAAAACAATATTAGCTTGGTATACCATCACCCACCTTAGTTCCCTTTAGCAAAATTATATCGAGTCTTGTCTCAAAGGAGTCTGGTAAGATAAACAACGTGCAGTGAACTATATAAAAGTCGAACCTCACTCAAACCAACAGAATATCTACAAAAACAAACTTAAAATAAAAAACCCTCAAGAACAACACCATAATTCCTAAAACCACACCAGAAAAAAAAAGAAGATACTATTGCTTTACAAATAAAATTTACTGCTCAGGTATAGGAATAACAAAAGTGGTGCCCACGTATATATAGCAACATAAAATAGAATTAGGTGCACAGGGATAGAAAACTAGAAATAGATTTGGGTTTTCATATATAAGTTATTCACGAGAATAGATAGTCACGATGGGCGGTGTGATCTTCAGGTCAATCTTGTGCATGCGGATAAGGATCTAAGTGACATGCAAATAAATGTATAACAGAGAACTTAAGTCGTACTTCTAATCAAGAACAAATTCCAAGCACTTAACTGAATGCGAAAAAGTGATACAAGAGCGCGGCTTACAGTAAAAAGATGTCAACATTTATTGTTTGTAGCAATATCTTACTCAACGGAAACTTAAAAAAATCCTGTTAGAATTTTTCGTTTTGACGAAACAGCAAAACCTAGCTCCGGATACGACACGACAAATTCCGTATAATAGGCAGCAGGTTTAATATTATTAAACTATCTCGCATTGTTTTTGGCAAAGTGCTTACTGTAGTAGAATAAAACATTAAACAAATCCATCACCATCCCATAATAAAAAGGGAATAATATTATTAACTTTAGTGAACGCATCAATAATTCTAGGCCAAGAACTAAGTATGAATTGCCGAAGTGTTACGTATAGTCCACACATACGAGGGGCATCCGGAAAGTAGTACCCGTTAGGGAATTGAGTAGTACCCGTTTGGGAATTGAACAAAAGGAAGTAAATTTCAACAAATTTTAACATGTTCATTGAAAAGAACATGCATTACACTACTTCTCCACATTATCTCCGGACATATTTAAGCATTTGTCGTATCGTGTCACGAGTTTTTGTACACCAGTGTCATAAGCCTGCGCCGCCAGTGTTTCTGGGATCGGCAAGGTGTACTGCTCATCGATTTCATGACTCGTCAAGACACAATCAATGCCAATGCATATCGTGCAACATTAAAAAAAATTACGGCGGGCAATTCAAAATCGACGGCGAGGTCTGTTGTCTACTGGCGTCATTCTCCTGCACGATAATGCCAGGCCGCATACGGCTCAGATAACACAACAACTTCTCCAAAAATTCAAGTGGGAAATTTTCGACTATCCGCCCTACAGTCTGGACTTGGCTTCTTCAAATTTTCATCTGTTTACGAAACTCACGATCAGGGACACGCACAAGGACTTCGTGGCAGGGACAAAGTTTCAAAATGACAAAGAACTGAAAGAACACGAGACTGCGCATCTCAATACACTGGCGGCGGAGGAATATGACACTGGTATACAAAAACTCGTGACACGATACGACAAATGCTTAAATTTATCCGGAGATTATGTAGAGAAGTAGTGCAATACATGTTCTTTTCAATGAACATGTTCAAATTTGTTAATATTTACATCCTTTTGTTCAATTCCCAAACGGGTACTACTCAATTCCCAAACGGGTACTACTTTCCGGATGCCCCTCGTAATTAACACTGCGCACAACTATATTGATAAACTAGGGATGATCGCATAAGAACAGGGAGAGGATCTTTGTACTTGAAAAACGAGCTAATTTTAAAATTGTTCACTAGCAATACATTAAGATTTACATTCGGGAGATATTTAGAGAATAGATCTTTCAACTCCTTTGCCATCATCTCAGATGCGGGGCCAAAGTAAGGAAAAGAACAATAAACACGATTCCTATCGTCAAATTGTAAATAGATAGTACCCTCTCTACATGTTATCTCATTTTTATTTCTGTTATCTTCGATTTTAGTTCTAATGTCCTCAAGTTTAGGTGAATTGTTTGAATATGAATTTTAGGCTACTAATTGTTTGTACCTGTGTTCTAGGTTTTGAACTGACGATGGAGCTGGGACTCCGAAACGTTTTCGCTTATAAGAAATGGTGAACTTTTTGGCTATTTTCTTTACTTTTAAATTCCTGATTGACCTATTTTAAACACGGAACATGACGTGACAGAAACGAATTAAAATAACTGAATGATTCACTATAAATGATTAAACAATGTTACACTATAATTTCTTCAATAACAAATGGGTAATTTCGTTAGAATCGAATACATACTAATTAAGGACTTTACTTGCGTAGCTTAGTGGGAAAGAAAATTCCACAGAAAAGAATCTATCATAACAACAAATTGCCTGAAAATCTGAAGCGCAAAACACGAATTTTGAATGTTTTAACCAAGAATTCGTTTCTTTCAGAATTTCAGAAGTCACCTGAAGCATGCGGCGGTGTAGAGAGCGCGAAGGAAGGCTGCAGGTGTCCATGTCTGACGCCACCGCTGCTGCTGGTGGCAGGTCCTGATGGCGGACTGGAGGCGTGGTGGGCGGGAGACGTAGGCAGGGAGAACGCTAGGCGAGCATCAGGGGGATCCACGGACTCGTCCAGAATCTCGCTGCTATTGGACCTCTTCTTCGCAGCCTGGGAGTAAGGTAAATTGTCAGGTTGTGATAAAAATTCAAACACAACAGTGACAAAAAAAAATTGATTTAGTGTGCAAATATATGTTATTAATTCAGGAGGGTAGCGTGAGCTTCGGAGCAGGCAATATCGCACTGAAGTATTCATCATTATTAAATTATAATGAGCTTGAAAGATGTTATCCAGAAATTAGGAGAAGCTACCACTTTTACTACGAGACTACTTTATGACTCAAACGCATGTTTGGAAGCATGCCTCAATTATAGTCACATTTGACGCTCAATTCCTGTCTTCACCTTAGCCTCTTTAGACTTTGGCAGTCTGAGCTTGGCAAGTTTATCCCTGACGGCAGTGGCGGGACTCTTGGGCACCGTGAGGGAAGGTGGCGACACGCTCGAGGACGACTCCCCTCCAGAGGCACGTCGGTCATCCGGGCTGCCGTTGGTACTTGACTTGAACATTCCTGAAAAAAAAACATTGTCATGTAATGAACTCAGGCATATAACATATCCCCACATTCTCACTTATAAATAAAAAAAATTATATCAACAAAAACTAATATCGGATCAAGAAAAAAAATTATTCTAGCCTTGTGCAATGACTGAATGCATCATTGAAACAAAGTTGAAAACCCTGAAAAGTTCTAAAACCCTTTTAAAATAAACTAAAAAATGAGAATTTATTGATATTTTAACGATATCAAGCGTTTCTCACCAGCAAAAACTTGAATAAGGCTCCGTCGCCGCTCCCTGTCCTTAGACTTAGATTTTCGCTCCGAAGACGGCTTGATGTGCTGACTGGCGGCGGCTTTAGAGGCCGAGATCTGGGAGGGCGTGAGCAGAGGAGGGCTGGAAGGAGTGCAAGTAGCTGCAGGAACTGAAACTAGAGAAGAACTCGCAACGGGGGTAGAGGTTGAAAGAGGCGTAGCTAGGGGAGAAGAGGTTGAAAGTGGCGTAGCTAGTGGGGTAGAGGTTGAAAGTGGCGTAGCTAAGGGGGTAGAAGTGGAAAGAGGCGGTGTTAATACTGTAGAAGCAGGTGACTCCGACATGAAGCGGTGCCCATAAGGCACTGAAGGCCTGGGTTCCCCATATTGTCCGTGCTGCACTTGAGCGCTCGGTGGTAACGAAGACGGAGGGGCTTCAGTGCGCGAGTCGGTGCTTCTAGGCATTTCAGGCCCGAGGCCGTTGTCTATATGGACAACTGACGCGACACCAATCTGAGGCCGCACAAAAACTTGCAAGGACTCCAAGTCTAGCATAGACGGTCGTTTAGATTGCTGGCGTTCAAACTCGACCCCGTTCTTCTGCAGAGCAGCAGTAGAAAGAAATTCTTCTGAATCATTGTTGACTTGAGCTTTTTTATCTTTTTTAACCCTAAACTCTTTGAGTTTCTCCATGACTTTTTCGTCACGACCTTCTCTGTTGTGCTTAGCAGCGGCATCGCGAGCTCGTTGCTCGGCGAGTAGCTTGCGAACTCTCTCTTCCTTGGCGCGGTCACTTAGAACAGCCAGCTCCTCAGAACCTTCTTGGGGCACAACACTCTTACTTGAAGTTCTTCTCTGTGAAGACCGCAAAGGTGAGACGTTTGCATCCTGCGCAGAAGTCAGCTCGGCATCAGGCAGCCGAGACATCACAGTGGCATGTATGTTAAGCGGGCTCGAGACTAGGTCAAGATCTGATCTAGTTTTAGCTAAATCTCTTGCTTTTCCTCGAGCCTGGCTTCGTTCCAGATCCAGCCCTAAGATGGTCGCACTAACAGGAGTAGCGGAAATGGCCGGCGAAATGATGGTTGCTGGCGATGAAGTGATGGACGTACCAGTAGCGGAAACTTGATCGTCACTGGATACTGGGGTAACGCAGAAAGGCGATGGCGAAAAATTGGTTACATTTTCAAACTGATGGGGGTGAGTAAGAGGAGTGGCAGGCAAGTTACTCATAGACACAGCCTTATGTTCTCTTGAAAAAGACCCAACGGTGTTGGCGCGACTTCTAACTCCAAGCCTTGAATCCCTGGGGGAATACTGAGATAATTTAGGAGTACTCTTCTGACATGACTCTAGCAAGACACTTCCTCTTAAGCTAACTGTAGATTTATTGAACTCATCGGATGCGTTACCACTGTTGGAATTCAGAAGCCCGGCTACATTAGAGCTGCTCTTACACAATCCCTCACCAACAGTGCTAATGGAAGCAGGAGAACTTTTACTTTCGTCTAACAGATCTTCTTTAGAACTTAATGGAGAAAAAGTCGTGCGCGAGTTGCGCCTGTTAGTTTTGTCGGGAGTTTTCCTGGAGATGCGTGACAAAACAAGCTGCTGCACCACATCCCCGTCTTTCTTCTTGGCATTCAGGGCATTCTTGTCACGCTTTTGTAGAGCAAGACCATTTTCAATTACAGTAGTTGTTTTAGCAATTGACGGTGTTTCTAGGTTCGTTTGTAAAACCGAGATAGCCGGCTCTTGAATTTGATTCTGAGAGACCGGAACGCTAGACTCGGATGTTCGAGTTGGTAGACTTTTGTCATCAGTAGACGATAAAGACGAAGATAGTCTATTATCCTTTCTAATATCAAGAGTATCACGGGCAAAAGAAAAAGGAGTGAAATGTCCTTTAAAACGCGGAATATATCCTTCATAGCGTTTAGTAGGAGTTGTAGAAGTGCTTCCGCCATTACTTATGATTTTCCTCTGTTCGGAATTACTACTAGAAAATACAGCCAACTTAGTTCGATCAGGCGACACTAAATTACTATTGTTAGAAGAGGCAAGATTCGAGTTATAAGTTATATTTTTCACCAAGTCAGGCGAAGAGAGGGAAGCTTCTTTGCTACTGCTGCTACTGCTGAGCCTTAGATCAAGTTTTGACGCATTTGCAGAATTTGGTGATGGTTTAGCAGGACTGCTCGCTTTTACTGCGTCACTGTTGCTCGAAGTTGACGAGTACACGAGAGCTTCATCGTAGGGCGAGCTACAAGAGCTTGCTGATCTTGTCGATAAATCTAACATACGATCTGACGGAGGAACGACATCCGAAATAAATTTCTCCTCTTCAGAAGGAGAGGCAGGCTCTGGAGTTTCAAGAGATTTCAATTTATTGCTGCCCAGATCCGACGCTTGAGCTGCTTTCTCTGAAGCTGAAATATGTTCATTGGGGGAAATGCCAGCACTAGAAACCGGAGAAGTAATTTTAGTGGGTCTACTTGATAGAGTTTGATCATCAAGCGCACGTCGAGACAAAGACGTTAAAGATGGTGATTTTTCCAAGGATTCCTCCTTTGTTACACGCAAGTCCTCATTCTCACTAGCAGAAGAATCAGAAACAGACTCAATTGTAAGATTACATATTTTCTTGTTGGAAATATTATTGCTCGTTGAATGGCTACAAGGATGCTCTCTCGACTCGGAATTTTCATGTGCAACGTTATTTTCTTCCTCTGCAATGCTGACAGATGCGGCACTTTGCTCCAGTTTCTGTGAAGGCAGGCAAGTCGTCTCGAGTATTTCGGCTTCACTTACTTCCTCGCCGTTCAAATCCATGAAATCTATTGCATCAATTTCGGTAAACATATTAGGACGAGCATCTGCTGAAGATGTCGAATTGGCATCCAGTACAGGAGGTGGCATTTTAGGAGTAGCAGGAAGACCGTCAGCAAAGAAACGCAAATTTGCAGAAGCAGTTGAGTCCGTCTCTCCTAGACTTTCCATCGAAGCGACGCGTGGCAGTCCAGGGGCTAACAGCAATGGAGCTATTGTCATCTCATGCAAGGTCTCTGGTTTATTTATTACATGAGAGTCGTCTTCTGAGGAAAGTCGGAGTTTTTCTTCATTAGATGAACATAATTTCTCACTAACTGGTGTGTTATCATCCACTATATTGTCCCTCGTATCGTCCAAAAGTTCAGAGGAATTTTCGAAGTGGAGTTCCCGAGGCAAATTTGTGACTGATTCTGTATCACACACGTTCTCTGGTTGAAATCTTAAAATATTGGAATTATTGTCTCCTTCTAACGCGGCAGTCAGACTCAAAAAGCTAGCAGGCTCGTCTTCAGCATCGCGGGCTAACTGTTCGAACAGATCATCGACGTCGCTGGGAAGAGATTTGGTGCTTACCGCGCTGTCATCAGCCGCTACATCGTCAGGCAACTCTCGTCGAACGAGTCCTTCATTGACGGTTTCTACTACGTCTTCAGAACATGACAAGACTGCACTCAGATCAGCGCAAACTGCAGGTGATAGCTCATAGTCTTCACTCTCACGAATAATAAGAGCATCATTAGTGGTATCAACAGCCGTCTCGTCAATACCAGCTTCGTTGACCTTCCCAAATTCCAACTCAACATTCTTTTCATTATCATATTCGTTTCTTCTATCAGTGCGACTGTCAGTAAGGCTGGTACGCAAATCTTCTTTCAAGCTCTGAGCTGAAATTTCTGTCTCCTCCAATTTTGCATGATTAAAGATTGATTTATCGTTCGTCGGTGAGCTATTTGTTGCTGGTAAAAGGGTTGAGGGAGATAGGGCATTACGTTTAACATAGGCCGAGTTAATATAGGCTTGCATTGCAGGACTCGGCTCAGGAGCAGGATTCAACATCTTCTGGGTTTCGGATATCTTCTCCATGAAGCTCTTGAATCTGTTTCCTAAATCAGCAGTGGACACCGACTTCTTAGGCAGACTGCTACCTTGCCCCAAGAGATACTTGCGTCGCAGTAGCAAATTTCGTTCGGAGGTGAGTGCTTCGTTGGACTCTGTCCTGTGCAGTCCAAGCCTGGCCCGCAACTGCTGCATGGGATTCACTGAAGGAACCACAGTCGCAGTCAGGTCCGAGAGACTTGTTAAGCTTGAGCATTTCTCAGCTCCATTGTCTTCTGCTGCAATGACGCGCTCTTGAGACTTCAAAGTGGGTTTTTGTTTTGCCGGAGACGATGAATCCTTTACCGCAACAGCACCCGCATCATCTTCTCCAATTATTATGGTGGGGATGTGGTGAGGTCTACCGCGTGACTTGTGTTGTTCATCTTCACCGAACTCAGAGTCAGTGTCTATTTGGGTGTCACTTTCAACAGAGTCGTCACTCGCGATCTGAAAGACAGATACGAATCAACTGCTGGTTATAGTAGTTTGAAGGAAACTCGAAAGATGAGATACCAGTGCAATCTACAACGCAAAACGCATTAATATGATGTATTAATTTGTAAGAGTTCTGACATAGTCTAAAGTATAGCATAGCAAAAGCGGTCACTGAGAAGTATAGCAACAAAATGTCGCTCATCTCGGCAACAGAGATCCCTCACACGAGCATTACACACCCCTCACTCTAGAGTCTAGAACCACAAACTCCTCATCATAGAACCAGGAACCTCTCACCTCAGAACCGATAACCTCCACACCCCAGCACCAGCGTTCACCTCACCTCGGTATCAGACGCAGTATCGGAAGTATCAGCGCGTTTGGGAGGTGCCATGTGTCGTATCTCTTGCTTACGACGCTCTCGTTGCAGCCGCAGCTCTTCACCATCGTCATCGTCGTCGGCATCATTGTCACCCTCGCCTTCTGTAGCCGTGTGGCTCTCGTCGCCTGCAAAAAATCGTCGCAAAAGTCGTGAAATAATTTTTGGATTTCGTTAGTTAACATCAACTTCATTGAATTACTTTCAGAGAATTTAAAGGCTGCAAATTTAAAGGAAAAACCACTGTACAGGGTTCGGTGGTATAGGTAAACTAAAGCACAGACGAGTTAATAGCAGTGAAAGAATATGACTGTCAATGGATATGTAGACTTCGTAAATTCTGAAGATCAGCTTTAGAACTCGTCTATATTACTCCACTTTACTCTTATTTTCGTTATAACTGACGTTATAACGTCCCTGTCTTTACTCTTATCTTCGTTATAACTGACGAAAAACTAACTCACGTTCTAAACTCATTCTTAGCTTGATCAAAGAAGAGAACAATTCTACTGACCCTCAGCACCGTACTCGCCGCTGTACTCATCCGAGTCGCTCTCAGAGTCAGAGTCGAGCTGGTCGTCGCCCTTGCAGCTCCTGTACGGATGCTCGTAGCGTCCTGCTTTCCAGCGAGGAGATGTATCGTTCTTGTCGCTGATAACCGTAGTAATTATTGGCATTTTAGTAAAATATCGATTACAAATTATATTTCAGTAAAATATTTTTAAAGATAAACAGGTGTTTTGATATAAAGGTTAAAAGAAGCGCATAGTTACAAAGTTTACATGCACCGAAAAAAATCATGGGCGTTCGATTTTGTTTCAACAAAAAAAATTACGCTTTAGATGACATATTACGACTTCAATTAATGATCCAATGATAGGACAATTCTTAAATATTAATTTTAGATATTAAGTATAAAATGAAACAATGAAATAAAACACCCACGTTTTGGGGAGGTGTGGAGTCTGATTCAGTCGCAGCTCTTTCTCCCCTTCTTCCTCATCGTTATCCCCACTTTCGCTGCAGCAAGAATCAAAGGAAATATTTAGTTCTAAACATCAATCGTCAGTAAATTTTGTAGCTAAATATTTTAAAGATATAAGAATATTCTTAAGGGAATATATCGAATTAGACAAAGATCATAATAGTAATTTTCTAAATATATGAATGTTGTATTACTCTGGAGCGTTCACCATTACTATAAAATGTTGCATTTAAAATTTTTCGAGCAAGGGGCCGCAGATTAAAACTAAAATTCACCGTTTCTAGCAATAAAGTAAGTCATCAATAAAGGAAACTATGAACAGATGTAAACGAACCTATCGCAGTACTCGTCGCTATCGTTGCTCGAGTCATCAAGTTCGTTGGCTGACGCCCCGAAGTTTCGATCGGTCCATTCCTCCTCAGAAAGATAATCTTCCTCATCGCTGCCCTGCTCAACGAGCGAGTTCTCGAACTCGACTCGCTCGGGCGTGGTGCCTCGGTCCTCCATGTCAGCTCGCACCGCATCGGTCACTTTGCTCGGCAGCGTCGCGGCAACCGCAGGCAGTGACCGACTGCCAGACGCAGCGTCGCTGTCCCTTGCTGCCGTCACTGCTGCACGGCCTTGCAATGCAATTCTTGATGTCCCCGCCTGTTGTTATACAGCAGTGCCACCCATACAGTGCATGGCTATCGTAATAGGAATAGCTATCGAAACGTACACTAACAGTGCTCGATGAAAGGTTACCAAGAAATACGCGTGTAACATAGTTTTTTCGAGTAGCAGTGCTCGGGTATAACACATGGTATTGGTAGAGAACTTAACTCGTCTGCAGTCGAAAGTTTGAGCGTGCAAGTGGGAAGTAACGGTCGAGCATAAGGCGTAATTTTTAACTAACCTCATTTCATGACAGCAAAAATGGACTTAATGTCACTGGCTGACTGGAGTTTTAAACAATCCAATGACGATTAATCTTTCACTACAGATAAGCACACATTATTGACCTGAATTTCGAATTTCAACACCTGATCGCAACAAAAAAATGACACATGAAGGCCAAAATAATACGAAATTTATTACCTGATCATTCAAGATTGAAGTTTTCACGCAACAATAAACGGCCGAGTCGTTAATAAAAAAAAAATCATTATTGTGTTCGTATACTGGTGAGTGAGTCAGTAACCAAGTATAGTTCAGTCATCAGAAGGTCAAGTAGTTGTGCATCATGTGGTTTGATTGTACGTCATGTCGATTAATTCTACACCAGATAAGTAGGCTGTCGGTTATCTAAAGCAATCGATTAGTGAATAAACTGGTCTGCAAAGAGGGAACAGCAATCAAATGAATGATGTGAAGATTACGATGGAGGGGTACAAGGCTTATGATGCACCACTGCATGCTTGAATCAAGTTTATCAAGGTACAATCATTTAGCAATTACATCCAAGTCTATTTACGAGTATGGAAGAGAATCAGAATGACAAGTCGAAAAAAAAATTGCATGCAGAGATTAAAGTACGTGAAAATTTGAAAGAAACTTGAAGGAATTAGGAAATTAAAAACGGAAGTTAAAGGTTAAAAGGATACCTGGGTTTTATAATAATTACATCCGTTATCTAATTAATGATAAAAGAATATGACCAGAGGTTCCAACATGCAACCCAGTAATTTCAAAATATCGTTCGAATCATGCACACGGCAAATAATTTTGCTGGCAAAAGTCAATACTGACGGAGGATAAAACAAAAAAATATATTATTAGAATTCTTTATATTATTCCAGACGTGATTTTTGCTGATTTTGACCCATGAGGCATTCATCAACCATCAGGATAACGTGGAAAAATTTACACTTGATACTTAATTTGATGCCAACATTAACGTATATTAAAAATGCATTCGGAAGAAATGTTTTGCTAGCTAAATATTCTAATTTCTGAGGACGATTTTTCGAATCAAATCGTTGCTTACTCCATTAATGCTATTTCTCTGTTATATAAGTCGAATTTGTGACTAATGGTAAATAACAAGCTGACAGACCTCAATAAAATCCCCCGTTCATTACTGAAGGTTTTAATTTAGAACAAAAATGTCTTAGATTCACGCCAGAGGAGAAGAATGAATAGTATTTAATATATTTATTTTAACATTAGCTCATTACCATTAATTACTGACAATGATATACAAAATAATTAATGAACACAAAAACTGAACAACGAAAGTCTAATGCATATATAGAGCAACAAAAAGTATAAAAACCACGATGTCTAGAGCGAGCATATTACTTTCCGAATCCGTCAAAAATCCCACACAGAACACAAGTCGAATATGAAGAACATAAATCAAAATGCAATTACGAGTATTCGTGAAAATAAACACTCCAAATGGAGTGAAACATTCGGAATGAATCGAAACACTCCACAATTCACTCCAAATAGCATTGGCACGCTAAAAACGTGTGACTTCTTATTGAAACTTCCACGAGTTTGTTAAATTGACATGTCAAAATACTTGACTGAATATTATTCTAATTAGACTAACTTAGCACTGCCTCTATAATATCAGTCAAAATTAAGAGATTAAAATCAATGACAACTCACAAGTGAAAGACACACGTAGATTACCCACAAAGAGTTGATATTTTAACAGCCCCTATCGATTTTATGAAGGAACTATGAAGTTCAAATTATGAAAAGGATTTTTTGAATCGTGAACACCTGATTTCAACATTTTCCATTGATAGTTGAGCTCTAAATAACTTGAAATTCATTCAAGGAGCACTTAAGAGTAAAAGGACTAGGCATCCGAGACGTCGCCGTGAGGGACGCTCAGAGCGGAGTTCAAGTCTTTATGAAAGAGATGCCAACCTGACGATGACAAAGGAGCGCGTTGACTTTTGTGGAATTCGATTTTAGCAGATGCCCGATGACTATTATACACGACCGAGGGAGTTCTGGGTGATGAGAGTTGACTAAAGTGATTGGGAGTTTTTTGTAGTCTGAGACTTATCTTTTCTTTGAAGCCAAAGAAACCGCACTGTTGAGTCTTTATAGTCTTTTTCTTGTCATCCATTAGAGAGCCTGAGGTTCGACTTCTGCAGAACAAGCTCCTCGGACTGGGAATTTTACAAACTAGAGAAGTAGTCTGGGAAATCACTAGACATTTTTTTGAGAGAGCGTTATTGTTTACTTCACGTGCGTATACACAATTATTCGAGGTGGCATTGCTAAGCGTATTGGCGATGGTTCCTGAGTAACGAACTGCGGATGTTCTAATATTGAGACAAAGCCTATTCGAATTGAGCGTAGTGACATCGTCTTTACGTCTTACGACACTTGTATTATTACTCGCATTATTTTGATCAGTGGATTTTTGCTTAACTTCAGACACCGGATTATGATTAGCAGAAATACAGTTCCCAACTATGCACGCGCTGGGCGATGATACGCCAGGAACTCGCCCAGGTTTAATGCGCAGGGGAAGAGGAATTTTGGAGGGCTTTGCAGCGCGCACAAGAGCTCGGAAACTGCGACCATCAGATCGGTTTACGTTCAGTTTTGGCGAGGTAGAATTTATTATATCATCAGTTAAGTTTTTCTGGTTAGGAACTTGATCAGTTATTACTCTACACGACGACGTACGGATAAGCCGTTCTTCTTGATTATTGATTTGAGAAGATGAAGATCTTGGGAGACACAGCTTAGACACAGAGTAAGTCCTACGAGTANCACGACACGTTACAGAATCGGGAGTTTTGTGGGGACCTGAAACAATCCCCTTATGCCGAGCTGAAGAAGCCTTCTGTTTAGTCCTCCTTAGATCAATACGAGGTACACACGAAAACAAGTACCCGGCCTCCAATTGCCAGAAAATTCTATCATCACGTTCGCATGATAAAGTCAGTCCACGGTCAAGTTTTAGGGGCTTGTCGGTAACAGCAATGTCATCGCTGGCAATGACTGAGAAGCGGTAGAGGTTATTCCTAGTTGAGCGACAGCTGTGGGTCGAAGTGGCTGATCTCAAAGAGACGTCACCCGTGGAAGCCCACCCAGAAGAGCGTGGTCGGGTGATGCAGCACTCACGGGATGAACCTCCCCAAAGACACCCGGTTACCTGGTCACCCATGCACCCGTTCACACATTTGTAGCCTCACCAACACTACTCATCAGCACTACAGAATGACGAAAATACTGGATCTTTCGTATAAGAAAGCTCGTGTTCAGTCAGTTACTGGACATCCGATAATACAAGGACCAGTAGCTTCTCCATGTCTGTAGTACTGACGTGTAGTGTGAACCAGGCATTATGAAAAGTTCGATTGCGAAAAAATTAAGCATGCATGTTAATAACTTCAAACCTTCCTTGGCCATGGATCACTCTTAAACTCCCGTCTCATAAAGAACACATGTTGTACGAAGAAATTTGAAAGATTAAGTTAAGCCAAAAATAAGAAAAGAAGTCATTTTCATTTGGTATGTTTTAGTATGCGAGGAAACTCAAGGAGACATGGGACTAATAGAATATATACACGTAATGGTAATGAGAAAAGGAAGACAGAGAGCCAAGGAGAGGTCGGAAGATAATAACGAGTCTCTCTCACAACTAGTGATGGCAGTAAAAAAACTACAGTTCTCAATCAAAATTCAGCTTAAACCGATCATACAGACGAGCGAAATCTGAAATCATTGCAAGATTAACAAATGAAGAAATGCATATTTTCATAAGTAGGTAAAAAATATAATACGTATAAGTACTTAAAAAATCATCGACTAGAACAACACCTAGATTTTTCTAAAACGTAAAACTCAGAAACGAAAAATATCGAGGTATTATACAACGTAACTAACGGTAAATATCAATATGAATAACAGTGCATTGCATTGAGGTGCAACCGGTATACATGCTAAGCAAGCTTGATATTTCAATCAGAAGGAAACTTGGCATTCACAGCATTAACATTACTGTTTATGTTAACAACTGTGCAACCGAGAAAATCTGCACGAGTAAACACTAAATTCACTAAAATTACATTTCTAATTTTCATGCTTTAGATTAATTATTTATTTAGATTTTAGAATTTAGATTAGAACTAATAAAGGAAGAGCTTATTAGATTTGGTTAGTCACGTGTGTGTTGCTCTAAATACAGTGCAGATTTACAGTGCAAAATTTTAGCAGAACGTTTACACGAGCGTTGCTTGCACTTGTTCAACCATCATCGGAGTAAGTTTCAACTTCAAATACTCGACTGCTCAACGGAGGTTTCTTAAACACTCAGCTTGGGGTAACGTTTTCAGCGAGTAATTAAAAGTGTAGTTTTACTTCGTCTATCCATTTAAGGGAACATTGTGCCAGGTTTTATTTTAACACCGTCATGTGGTGGACAAAAGTTCGCTAGAATTAACCATACTTTTCTTGGCATACCTTAAATTGTTCTATTTGTTGGTTAGACTGAGTAACTCGTTTGAATACCCTTAACTATCACTTAAGGGTATCAAGGGTAACTTGACATGGTTGAAGGACTTTCAATAACCGTATAACGATGATAACGAATGAAAACCCTCCCAGTGTCGGGTTACGCGAGTTAGTCTCACCATCGTCGTACATATGCAGTGCTACTCCGTCTCACATGCCGCGTTTGCTGACCCAGTCTTACCTACGGAAGCTGTAGACAGGAAGGCCATGCGTCTATAAAGAAGAACCAGCGTATTATGTTACGCGTTGGTTGACCCAGCCTTACCTACAGAAGCTGTAGACAGGAAGGCCATGCGTCTATAAAGAAGAACCAGCGTATTATGTTACGCGTTTGCTGACCCAGCCTTACCTACAGAAGATGTAGACAGGAAGGCCACGCGTCTATCGACCACTCGGTGAGCGAGAGCAGAAGAACGAGTGCGAGCCACCACAACAGCACGGTGCTCCATACACCCATTGCACCGTCAGCACACAGAACCTTCAGCACGGCAGCACCGTACTTCTTCCCATCATCAGCACTCTCCTACAGCATGGCATTATCTTTAATACCCAACGTGCTGCTTCCATATTTTTGGATTCCATGACTCCCTTTTTATGGCAAAAGGAAATTTGTACGAGACTCTAAAGAAATTCGTCCTCCTTTCACAGTCTGCATCTTCCAGGAAAAAAGCTTTCTCTTCAACCTCAGAGGTTGAAAAAAAATATAGCCACAGTTCGAGCCGCGCTCGAGACAATACTACGTTTCGCACGCAACGCACGAGTTCTTCAGAATAACGGGAGTGGCAAGCTTTCCTGGTTAGTTACGTTATGGGACATTGTGTTTGATACATTGAAGTATGCAAAATAAATGTTAAAATGACCGATTCTTTTGCGGCAAATGATCCCTTCAAAATCTTAGCTTACCAAAAAACCGACCAGTTCAAAATGGACAGTGTTGTGCCTGCCTTATGAAGTGAAAGATCAAAAGAAAAGAGGAGAAAGCAAAATATTGACTTTGCCTACACCTCACGTTCCCGCATGGCACACATCAATTTTTAATTCATTTGTACAGGATGATTTTACAAGGGGATATTAATTAGCAAGCAAAAAGTATGAATTTCAAGTGAAACGAAACTTGTGTCAAGGTTCAATTATATCGTTTAAAACGTGAATTGGTCGTTTCCAGCCATACATAAAGCGTTTGAAGAGCTTCTTTGAGTAGAATTATTAATGTAAGCAAATTTTGAAGAGCTTGTGAAGCATTATATAGAAAAGCGAGATCAAGTCCATGAGCTCAAACCGAAGATTATGTTTTTGGGCGGTGACAAACCAACCTTAAAAATGACAGAGCGCCCCGTCCTATGTAACCCCAATAAACACAGCTTCTTGCACACAGTTTCACCCGAGAGAACGCAGACCAACATAAACTCTTGTATCGTTTCTAAGTGTTCCGTTGAGTGAAATCAGATGGACGTGAGAAAACTTACGCCACTTAGATTTTACTCTTCTTCAAAGGCATCCCGGTCAATCGAAGATCTCAGATATGCATAAATTTTATTGTTTTTTTCCTTTTTAATTGTTAGAAGAAAACAATCACGAGGTTCCCGCAGCCAGCATGCCCCATAACGAGGCAATATGCCCGACCATATCCCACACACCAACGCCCACGAAATACGAACACCTCGACCATTGCACCATACCTCGCAAAACTCACCTTATTATCGTAACGGACATTAATCGTATTATGATCCAGTCATTGTTGAAAAATTAAAATCAAAAATGGAAAGTCATTCTCGACGATCAGCTCTTTACATTTCTAGGGTCAATACTGTGCATTAGGAGTGAAATATGATAATCAAATTTTAACGTCGCAGACCTCGCGTATCGTTGAACGTAAGCTTCCCAGGCTCAACTGGGGCCATACTTTCAAAACCTAAAAAAAGTTAACGTAAGTACTTGCGCTCTATTTTCTTGTCTCTGATTGGTGGATTTGGCTCGAAAGGCCGTCAATGATTGGCTGATGAACTTACGATCTCTTAACTTTTTTTGAAAGTATAGGCCCTGGACTATAGCGGAGAGAAGCGCAGTTGACTAGAAGCTACGCGGTAAAGTGGACTTACCATTGATAGAATTATTGCCCGCAGGACAGCAGTTAATGTACAAAATAGGTTTTCCAAAGTTCTCGATTAAGAACGTGCACAATACTTCATGCCTGCTACAGGCCCACAATCATGCCACAATACACAAATAAGATCCGTCATGCTATACGCTGCATCCAGTACCCGCCTCAGAATCACGACTTGGCTAACAAAATGCAATCACTAATTTGCTACAGAATTAATAAGTATGTAACCGCTGGAGTGATAACAATAAAAAATTATGCATAGCTAAAAAAGCTAAAAAGCTTAGTGACGTAGAAATAATCGTCTCTCACTCGTCTTATTTTCTCGAAACGGAACCATCTTTACAGCAAACCATCAAGTAAATAGCGACAACAGAGTTAGTTATATATAAATATTAATACCAAACTAACCATGCACAATGCATTGAAATCAAAAGCTCCAAGAGGGTTAACTCCCAAATCTAAAGACCAAAAAGCCATTTTTTTCCTCCGGAAAAGGTGCAGAATTAATGAGATCAATGAGAAATGACGACGTAAATAAGAGCATATAGGATGAAGATTGCAAAGCTCGAAAAATTTTAAACTAAGTCACGTCAAGAAAAAGAAAAACACGGCGCTTTTGTAAAGCTATAAAGCAACGCAGTAACGATTTATACACGAAAACATTGTTATTCAAACGAGTGATAAAAAAGTCAGAAGACCAGAACTATGAGAAGTGCAAATTGTTACTTCAGAGAGAGAAAAACTAACAGCGCAGCATGGCCTTAAGGGAGAAGCTGATAGGCATGTTTGGTTGTTTTCAAGCAATCGTTATAAATGAGAAGTAAAGAAGTAAAAAGATTGAGAAGTAAATCATGCGGGACCAGGTGTGTGCCATGCAGGAAGAAACGAGAGGTGCTCCAGGAATCAGTCTACAGGTATTATAAAAGGCGGTAATCATTTCTAGCCAATACTCCCTGGGATGCTATCGACATCTATTGAGATGGAGAGTTCGCAGCTGATCAGTTATTGGAATTGATTAAGTCAGGTGCTGTTGAAGGTCAAGTGCTATGATGGTCTGAAAAGTCTCGTATAAGTCATCCTAGCGTGTTCGATGCGTTCAATCGAGTCAGGCTTCTAAGAATTTTAGCAAAAATTTTCTCGGTGATGAAAGCGGATCGTGAATACGAGAAACAAAAATATGCTCTACAAAATCACAGCCATAAAATTCAAAACTGGATAGACGTATTATACATGATAAATTCCAAATAAATATATAGGCTTTGAACTGAAATATTTTCATTAGTGTCTTCTAGGTATTGATCACAACAAATAAGGATTATGCAGAGGCAATTCTAAACTATCCAGCTCTCCATTTCTCAGGCGAACTCTGGCCTTCATAACTTGACGGCAGTCTATAAGGAATTTAAATTCAGTAAACAGAAAGCAGGTAGAATCCCTTGGTGAGATAAGGTGCAGTTGCGAATGTCCTGACCGTGTGGCAATGCTCGTTGTTGTAACGTCGGTACATACCACAGTTTGGTATGGTGGTATATACCATAGTTTGATGCAGACAGCTCATCATAGTTTGAAATTACAATCATTTGATATCAAATTATCGATACGAGTTTGGAGTTCTGTTTGCATTCCGCTTTAAAAGGAACACCGGATCGTTCCAAGAATCAAATTTGCAGTAAACTGGTTTTACATCCCTTGTCAACAATAATAGAGAAAAAAACAACAAAATATAAACATGTAACTATCATCACACGGAAGTTAGATTCGTTTTTAAGTTTATTTCTCCAAGTTTGACTCGGCCGTTAATCAGATCTCAGAATAAAATAATCAGCAAAGTAAGGAAAAGAGAGTAAATCCTCTGATAGGACTCGTACATTGAAAGTTTTTTAATTGAAATACATCATGGCGGAGCTTCGTCTTCTTACAAATAGAGGGAAGAGACAGCCTCTCGCAAGTTGTACGTCATTAAACAATGAGCTCTAATTGCCACAGGGTCAGGAACGGCGCCCAAAGAGAAGCTTAATGAGCGGCAAACTGTGAATCAGTGCATTTCAAATAAGATCTAGTTGCACCTGGAATAGTCACGCTATCTAACACAACGTAAATATTAATTATTTCCACTCAATATCACAAGAAACTTCGGTACCAGATACTAAGCCATGGTCCCTAAAATAGTTGATAATTAATCGTTGAACTTATCAACATCTGCAAAATCAATAAACTGTTTTGCTAAAATTTTTTAGTTCACATGGCGGAGACCTAAGTTATAGAGATAAGCAATACTCACGGTGCTCCCAGCATTTGTTTTACGTGGCACTGTGAGTCCGAAGTGCGGGATGCAGAAGAACTGGCCGCCATAGCGCCCCTCTCGGTCGTAGATGTAATTTCCTGCCAAGATATTACCTTATTATATCAATATTCATGTTGAAATGGCAGAAAATATCAAATAAATAATTCAAATCGATGAGTTCTGGCAGAAAATAGCAAATAAATAATTCAAATCGATGAGTCCTGGCAGAAAATAGCAAATAAATAATTTACATCGATGAGTTCTAATATGAGGCTAAAAAATGTACAACTTCTCGAAAACGATCCATCTCGAACTGAAATTAATAAAACGTTCTTTTGAGACACAGCAACTTGACCGCAAATCTGGAAGAAACAGTGCCTTTGTAACGTCTAACCACACAAGATTTATGAGCAAAGTGCACGAACAGAGACCAGTTTATAAGCATAACTTAAGAGGATAAAAACTTTGCCTAATCAAGGAAATAATCGAAGATAATGCAAAAAAATACACGATAGTTCGTTCCTTCAACTTGATTTCATCAAAATTAATGGGCAGACAAAAATAACAATTTTCAATCTTAAAAATTGGTCACTTTTTCTTGCCTGTAATAAGTACAAGACAGAGAGCATACAGACATTCATAGCTAACAACTAAACGTGGGATGTGAGCAGCCTCTCGACTTCATTGACATTCACAAGTGGAACTACAGCGTTCAATACAAGTGGAAATACAGCGTTCATTCAATACGAGTGATATGATAAAGAAACAAACACACATTGAATAATCTGCATTCGAACAATATTAGCTATTTTTAGGTGCTGAGATTTGAAAGTATTTTTTGCAGGTCATAATGAGAACTATTATTTAATGGGAGTATAGTCGTATAGAGCACAATGAAGAACGAGGGTCGAGGTGTCAACGGATTTAAAGTGCGGACAAGACGCCACGCAGGTTTGTGCCTGAATTGAGAAGCTGGCGAGGTGACGAAACAAAATTACTTCGCCAACTCTGATTGGGTTGTAAAGTGTTATGACCAGAAGATACCACCCACTCATTTACCAAAAACAAGAGCAATAAGGAACTGTTAAAACACTCACCTAATCTGAGCAGCACATTACAGTAGTGACACCTAAAGCAGTGACGGTGGAAGAATTTGCCCTCCGCGCTGAGTTTCTCGACGAGGTAGACTCTGGTGCTGCAGAAGTAGCAGATGTCCGAGGACGTGGTGGGCAGCTGGACTACCATTGGTGCTTTGCTGCTCTGCTGCACCTGCTGCTGCATCAAGAATCAACAATTAATAACTTGATAATATGACGACTTCCACCCGCAGCACAAGTAACTACCTCCAAATAGAATAAATGTGCACTGTATAAGATATATTCCAGCGCGTTCTTCGATGAAAGAACGCGCGATGCTCTCAATTCTTTGTACGTGTTGGACAAAACATGTAAAATTTTCATCTCTGAATTCAAATTACAAACCAAAATGAGAATAATATACATCCTGAATTATTTTTTACCGAGACACTAACCTGCAGGGACTTTTCATTTGCGTGCGTAAGTTTGGACGAGAGTTGGGAGGCGAGATTGGAGACTTTATTATGGCCCTTGAGCCCCACGTCGAGCGTGGAGCCCTCCCTGAGTTTCTTCTCGAGCCGCTTGAGGTAAGCGTCGACGTCCTTATACTTGGCGATGGTCTCTTCCTTCTCGCCATTAGCACGCAGTCGGCGCTCCATTGTGTTCATCTGAGACAATAATGGCGGTAATAACTCCATTATAGAAAAATATATGTACGTATAACAGTTAATAATATACTAGTAATGGCTACAGTATATATGTAAAATGTAACTGTTCATCGTAGACGTGATAAATACTATAAATTTTGTTAGTATAAAAAAGTGCCTCACATAAATTTATTTACGGAATAGGGTTACAGTGACATCTGATAGGATTCTATTTCATGCTTCAATAAATAGAGTGGATATGTGTGGAATATCGGTCCTACAATCAAGTCAAATAACTTTACATGTAAAGTACGTAGGTATATCTATGTACTTCGGCGGAAATAAGTATATACTAATGCTATCATTCATAAAATGACCCAAATGTACTATGCCGCGAATAATCGACATGCGATACAAGAATCTTACTACCTCTAAAAGATTAACAATCGACATCGGTCGAGTTCCTTCATCTTAAATGTAGTTCAAAGCTACTGCAAGTGATAGGCCGAATCAAGCTGATTAGAACATGATTTGTACAATATCCACGTTCGAATCTGCACTGAAGCTATCTTGCTTTGCATATCACAATTCAGCCATCACCAACAAGCTGTAAGGTCTCGACCATCACAAATACTATAAATGTAAAATCGTTCATCAGCCTTTATCGGAGAGAGGTCTCCTTAGTATCCTTAGTATTTGTTTGGGACATAGCAGTCCCAGGCCACGATGGATCGCGGCATCTGATTATCGTTCACCTTATGCGTATGTTACCTCAAAAGACTAGCTCGTTGAAGCTGACAAGAACAGGGCATCTTTGGCGTCTCAGGGACACGAAAAACGTACAATGTACGGGTGAACAGCTACAGAAAAGTACACACTCGTACAAATGACCGCTTACTAGAAACGATAGCTACCCTCATGACGGCACGAAAAATGCAGACTTGAAGTCACTAGCAATCAAGCAGTCACTAAAAGCAAACAAACTGAGACTCGAATCGCATACAGCGGTAAAGAATCCCGCTGCTAGCTAGGAATGTGAAATTCAATACGTCTTATTACGGAGTATGACAGGCTACGTAAGACCTCCCAGGAAAGACAAATATCACAAATCTCACCTTTTCATCGTAAGCTTCACGATTCCATTTGGGAACTTTCTCGGCCTCGCCGCTCACAACGGGTCGAGGGTTGTCTTCTATCTTGCGCTCGATGGCTGCCAGGTTCCAGTCGGTCTTCTCCAGACGGCCTATCGCTCGCACCATGTCCTGTAGCAAAAAAAAAAAAAATTATCAGTAACCTTGGCAGATATTCAGTTCATGATATCTTACCTCTTATTACTCTTGACGGCGATTCTTGATATTCAGTGCAGCCACTTATATCAATAAAAATTCATGTTATATTAATGTTATTTTCTGTCACAGCGAGAGCGCGCCCACGAAATCCGTATTGCGTGTTAACAGCCAACATCTTCTTCGTTTTCTCAAGAATCTAATAGCAAAGAAAACGCCAAGAAAACTCACCGTATTCGTTGAAATTTTTTTGGCTTCTAAATTCTGTGTGGACTTGCGATGTATGCAAACCAATGTTATAAGTATCTCGGGATTAATGATAAAATACCTTGGGTTTCTTGTCGGAGCGGTAGCGTGAGAGGTGAGAATGATTACGCCAGGTAGAATAACCATAGCTGTTACTAACTTCTTGAAATTTTCTCATCTTCTAGACTCAGCTTGAAGCTGCGTATTAAGCAGACTAATGATAAAATACCTTGGGTTTCTACATACAAGACTAATGATAAAAGTACCTTGGGTTTCTTGTCGGAGCGGTAGTGCGAGAGGTGAGGCTCGCCCTTGAATTTAGCCTCGAGATATTTGACGCGGTCGTCGAAGTCTTCACGATCAACGGCACCGCATCTGCGGACGGCGGACGGAGGCTCGGCTAGGCCCTGAGGTGAACGAATTCTTCATGAATACTTTATAATTCTCGACAACATTCATATGAATTGATCAAAAAAGGTTAGTGCAGAAATAGAAGCAGGGGTATACTGAAAACCTGAGAAAACAAATGGTAATAAGATTGAGACTGTGACATCCAGTGAAAGATTCAAGTTGTTTGTAAGATGATTTTAGGTCAATTGAATGATTTTAAGAAAATACGAACTGAATGTGGGACAAAATCCAGCATCGCACATTTTTTAACATTATTTCTAACCTTCTACACTCAACATCGTAAAAAGAAGCGACATAAAATTACAGAAAAACATACATGTAATTTCCTAGCCATGTCAGTTACCATACAACATCATAGCGATCACATCCAAATTTCTAAAATAACGCAAACACAATAGAAAATTTACAATAAACCGAGTAAATAAACACCTCAAAGTTAGTAGTAAGTGAAAAAATAAATCAGGAAAAATTTCAAATAGAAATGGCTTTAAAATTAAATTACACAAATGATATCATGACGACAACGAAGAAACAATCAGTAATCAGTAAGCATTATCGTGAATTTGATAAATATATATTGGGTTAATTGCGACATTACTTCAAAACTCTGGGTTTGCATTGAGAAAACCGGCATTTCATCAAATATTTAACACAGGATTTGGCACCGAGAAGGCATTCGAGAGCTTCAAAGTGGTGAGGCATATAAATAAATTTTAATATTTAATAATTAACGCGTAATTCCTACACAAAACGGGAAGCATCTCACTCAAACTTTTTCCGTTATTCCTGACAGAAGTCTTTGGTTAACAAGCTGAAGCAGACACTCGAATTGATTAAAGCATCTAGTAAGCACGTCAGTGGTCTTCAGGGAAAAAATTTTGTTTATCAAAGAATCAAATTTTATTACGCTTCAAATCGAAGTAAACTTTCCAAAAAATGACTATAACATAATAGAGAAACTATGATAAATTTTGATGGCAAGAAAGATATGAATTTGCTGTACACAATTTGTTTCAACTAAGAATTAACTTGTTTAAAAAAAATAATAACTAATCTTGAGACCGCATCTTGAAACGTGTCTAGGTCATAAAATTTCAACAAATTTGGAACAGATACTGTCGTTTAAGATAACTTAATTTATAAAATGGAGTAGCAACTATACACAAATGTTAATATAATTAAACAGGAAAATCTAATCAAAAATAGGAAACGATTGCCGAGTCAGTCACAACACTCAGGGTAAGAGGTTTCAATTAAACACCAAAACAGCACACGACGCATCACGCATCTCACGCTAAAGTAAATTTTCTTTTCGAGGTCCTTGGCTTTCTGGCGCATGGAGAGGACAGCGTTCTTCCTATACTCAGCAAGACCTGCGTCTTCTTGAGGTCTGTATGAGGCCTCTACAGGGTCGCCAGACGCGCACACAGCCGGTCTGGTCAGACCGCTGTACTGCAACATGCGCATTGACCGCACGAAACGCACAGAGTCCAGTTCACGCTGCTGGCGTTGTCGGGTCAGGCGGTCGGTGCGGTTGTTTGATATTTCTTCGCGTCGACGTTTGGCAGCAGCAGCTTCCTTTTTTCGAGAGTGAACTCAATCCGTTCAACATCAAATATATGCAAATAATGCACATCTATTTTCCGTAGCCCTTAGAATATAACTCATTTTCATGACCAAGTTCAAGCCTTGAACTTTTCACAAACATTTCTATTTGAGCAGACCAATGATAACAATTTAAATGACACCAATAATCAAGATGTTACGCGCTGGTTCATACAACGATAGCTAACCATACTCCGCTCATGGACCAGCACTCATCACCAGGCGCCAACAATGCGATCAGGATTGAAACCGAATTCAAACTCATCACTCCTATAGAGCTTTCCATGTTATTGTCTTATTTTACTTTTGTAGATCTTACCTCCTCGGTGAGTATTCTATCAGTGCGGTATTTCTTGCTCTTCTTGTCCAGAGTGGAGGTCGCAAAGGGTAAATCATCACCCAGCACGCGGCACGGGAGGCCTCTCTCTCGCGACCTGACATAAAGAGCTTCATTGAAGATAGGGAATTGCACGATTATTCATGTGTAAAATTCGAGACAGTCAACTTTACTTACGTGAAAGCAAATATTTATTCACAATTTTAGAAGTAATTTGTGAAAACTAGCTCTTTCTGACCTTCGCAAATAAATCTTTAAAGAATGCTATCATATCGAATGCTAAAGTAATAAAGATTTACAATTGAGCATTTGTCACAATTCATCCAAAAAAATGAAACAACCCAAATTTTTTTAATATAAACGCAAAATACTCACGGTAAAGATATTGGCTGCTCATCAATGGGATCGCACGTGTCCTGCAGAGAAAAACAATTAGGCATTTCATCAGGCCCATTATAAATCAGAGGAAGAAAATAATTAACTAAAATGAAATCTGAAAACAAATTAACGTGTAGCGCAACGACATGGCAAATCAAAATGATGTACAAAAAATGATAACGCTAATGAAGGAGCCACAAAAAGTCAGCAAAAAGTTATGTAAATCAATTAATGTGACGAATTAAGAGTCACAAAAGGTCCAGAATAAATCAAGTAACAATTAATGAGTTGAATTATCAGCTCCAAATGGCCAGTACTACAAGAAATCAATAAACAATGAAATGATAAGATACGCAAGGTCTACACAAAAAATATAAGGTAATAAATATTTTATAAAACAGCAAGAAAGACTAACGTTATCGTAAGGGATGTGCGGGAGCTCGCCACGTAGGGCGTGGTAGACCTGCGACAGGTAGGAGATCATGCAGATTCTGTCGGGCACCTCTGCTTCTGCCATCTCCACACCCGTCATTATCTGTACGCAGAGAGTGGCTGTCAGGGTAAGCTGCAGGGCTGTGTTTCGATTTAAATAAAGCATTTATTCGACTTTTAAATAACCAATAAACAGTGAAATCAATTCCATAGTTTGAATATAATAATGATTAATTCCATTACTGAATCAACAAAATTCTTCTAGATTTAAACGTCAAATGCCGTTACAGTACAAATAGTGCACTGCCGTTTAATAGAGTTGGAAGCTTGTTCAAGGATGAACTTCAAGTCGGTAAATGACTCCCAATGAATATTTAAAGCTCGTTACCCAGGTGTACACGACTTAAATGAGGCCCAATGAATGAGATAATAAGCTACTGAATGAATAATAACGATAATGAATAAGTTCATTCATAAGGTTTCACAAACTGCACTGACCGGAGAGACACCAAACTCTGAGAGGAGGACGTCAAAAGCCAGCTGGTTGTTGAGTGCTCTGCTCTGGGGCGACAGCTCGGCAAATGGGATGAGCTCTGGGCGGTAGCGGTGCAAAATACCGCACAGAGCTAAGCCGTCCTGAAATAATGCACAACTTTTGAATGCTGAAGCAAAAGTAGGAGCGAAACCAATCTGGCTTGAAAGGTAGTAAAAGTATGAGCAAAATCAGCTGGTTCGATAAGGTATCATTTGTTTTCAGTTCAATTTATAGCAAGAATGAAATGTTAAACAATGCGAATTCATTCTTTTATGATATCGATTGTGACCACTTATAAATACTATAGACCATGCATTTCCCTATTGTTCAATACAAAAGTTCCCATTTTATTCATAGGTTTTCTATATAACCTTCCAGTTTAAACGGACCAGTTCAATCAAGAAAAAAATCTGAGTTAATCATTCAAATCTGAGTCATTTGACAGCTGAGCTCTAAAAAGATCTTGAATATCTCAACACAAAAAAAATTGGCATCGAGCTATGGTCACCTGGAAGGCTGTGGTCATGTCTTCTATGGCCAACTCAGGGAGATGCGACACTTGTCTCTGGCACCATTTTAGTAATGCGTCCGGATCGACGAGCGAGTCTGGTAAAAAGTAACACATTAATCATGCTGATTCGTACATGGGAGATAAATAGTTTAGATTAAAAAATTAGCATTAATGCTAATTTTCGTCATAATTATGACGAAAAATATTCTCATTCAGCTTTTAAGAATTGAGTAACAAAGAATTCCCAGGTTGTATAACAAATTATGCACAGAACGAAACAAATCAAGTTCAGGACAAGACTACTAACCATCGTGCAGTACTAACCTCTTCGTTTGCGTTTTCTGGGCAGGTCATCATCTTTGGTATCGTGTTTGAGGTTGAGGTGTGGGGCAACAGTGGACGTGTTGCTTGTGACGTAAATAGCCAAGCTGTCTGGGTCATCAGTAGAGAACAGATGACGAACTTGGAAGGGCAATACAGCGCGAGTGTTGATTGTAGGATATCGTGACCACGGCTCCAGCATGTAAGCGCTCTGATCTGCACGAGGCATGAATTTGCCCAAACCATTAATAATTTTTCAACACTTTAGTTGTCCAGTTTGTACCTTTTCCGTCAAAATTTAATACAATTCAAGGACTGCACCTATTATCAACTGATGGAAATCCAACTCTGTAGCGAGTACGGTGACATACATGACTATAGATGCCGTCAACTGGGGTGACTTCGGCCGCGTTTTTTGATTTTGTTTTGCAAACAAAAACGGGGTTTTAAACGCCAGGGTCGTAAACGAGGTCATAAACGCCGGAGTGACTTTGGCCATCGTTTATGACCCCGCTTTTGTTTGCCAAACAAAATCAAAAACGCGGCCGAAGTCACCCCGGCGGCCGAAGTCACCCCGGCAGGTAGCTTTTTTGTTTAGAAAATAAATAGTTTTCATCAGAAGCCTTAACTAGATATATACCTATTATCAATACCAATAAATTTTAATTGAAAATTGTGTGAACTTAGCGGAAGCATCCACACTTTTGTGTACCTTTACTGAGGTTCCTAGGCGTGGTCTGGGCCAGGAGTCTGTAGATGCTCTCACGCTCAGCCAGCACCTCCAGAGGGTTGCCCGTGGGCCCCAGCGCCGCCCAAGACTTCATCATCCAAGCGGCGTCAAACGCGCTGAGGAAGCCTCGCGCACACCCGCTTCCCGTCGGCCAAAACGGCTGACAACACAAATAACTACCTGCAGTAACTGCTCACTTACGGGGGAAAAATAATTCTAGCGTCTTTCCAATATTAGTTTAGATCATTAATAGCAGCAGTGATGTCTCAATACAAGGTTTAGCTACGGCCGATAAGCGCATAATTAAATATTTTGATCTAGGTTGGTAAGAAAACAGTTGGATATAGAACATTCGTATTCAACACGCGAATCATTAAGGCAATGAATAAGATTTCTAACCTCAAGCAGACTGTCGCCTACAAGCCCGAGAAGGATTCTATGCCCTCGCACTTGCTCGGCGCGACAAGCATTCTCAGCGGCAAACATGGACGTGAAGTCAAACATGGCGACGTCAGGGTGACCGTAATGGTTAACAGCGAAGTCCAAGTGTGGCATCTGGTAGCCGGTGGAGAAATCGGCGGCTTCTCTGGCGTAGTCCTGCAGAGCCTCGCGGTCAACGTTGTTGGGGTGCAGTAGCTGCTGAGTGTCCATCAAGTCCTGAAAAGGAAAGTTCGGATGATTTGAGAAATGATTTTGCAAGAACAAATGTCATTTTAAACAATAACACCAATAAAAAATTAAATAAAAATGACATGTATTCAGTCAGTGAGTGGTTTTTGATTGGGAGCAAATGCAAAAGGGACATTAGTAGCTTTCAATCGCAACATTGAGGCAGAAGTATCAGTGTAACCAAATAAAATATTTTACTTCAACTTGGAGAAATATTTAAAAGAAAACAATCAAATTTACCACCAATTTTTCAGTGAATTTTAGTGCCTCTGAACATTTTTGCAGCATTCCGTGAATCCATTTCGGGTAGAAATCATAGTGTTAGATCCTAACCTGAATAATGACACCCTTGTCCAGGAGCGACTGTTTCTTGGCAGTCATAACAAAATAATGAGTCTCATCCTTGTAATAGACGATGTTCTCAAGATCGATTCTCGTGGCAGCTTTCAGCTCCTTGAAGAACTTCTGGTTGAAGATGAATGCAACGCCGCTGATTTCCTGAGCAAATGCGAACACAAACGTGACTACAGAAATTACAAAATTTACATTAGGCCTAGTTGAGTTACCATACATACAACATAATTCAGAACCAAGAATTAAATTAAAAAAATATATATAACCCAAGATATGATTTTTCAGCATGTAATCAAATTACAAAAAGAAAAATAAAAAGTCAACAAGCCAGTTCAATAATGAATGCAGCAATCAAGGTAAAGAATAAGAGGCCTTGAGCTACTAGTCACCGGGACCGACGACTCTCCCTCGGTGCGTCTGTTGATGAAATTTGCAGTGACGGCGATGGCAAGCTTGCCTCTGAACTCTGTTCTGTTGAAGCCTGATAATGTGTTGCGCTTGCCATCAGCACCGATAAGGACATCGATCTCATACTGATGCAGGCTGTGGTCTGGCTGGCTGAACCGCGCTCTCCAGCCTATCTCTGGATGTTTACAGATTTTTTATTGCTTCATTGATTGCATTCAGTGAACATTGATCAGGAACGCATGGGCTGAGTCCTAAATAGCGCACCACAAAGCTGTGCTCAATAATCTATAGATGAAAAAATAATTCTTAAATTCTTGTCTGAAATATCAAACATGTTTTCTGTCACCAAATTTCAACCTTAAGTGACTTATAAATTTGATAACGAGAATTTGACTAAAAGAATCAAACTAGCCCATGTAAAAAAAATTTTGCATGACTGATAAATTTTCTTTCTTAAATTCAAGTTTATAGCTGGATTGGAAAATTCTATGTGCCTTGAGAGGAATTATTATCCATTAGGGAATGGACGAAGGCTTCCTTACTGCAGCAGGCTTCACTTGTTCATCATGCACGTTTTTCGTTTTCACCCAGTTTAACATGTCACAAAAAGTAAGTTCTTTTCTCATACAGGGTGTGTTACCAACATTGTCTTATTTCATTAATCATACTTAGGGAAATTCTATGGCCACTTCATTGCCTCAAGCGTTAATAAATTACCACGAGAGGTGATAGTGTTACCCACAAGAAGCAACTTACTTCACTTACAAAATAACAATCTTACTCTACTCACTTTCAGTTTGATCTTCTGGAGGAGGGATTAGCTCCTCAAATCCAAGGCCCTCAAACACCCTGACCCCCAGCAGCAAAGCTACCTTCAGCAGGATACACTGCAGTTGTCGAATGCCTAATGTGCAAGACAGTCAATACATGCCTGTAGTTACACTAAGAAATGATGGTTTTCATAATGCAACTAACAAAAAATTTGTAATGTTTCATTTCATTCATTTTAACGTTTTATAACAAAAATTGATAAATAATATACGAGTGGTACAATACAACAATCATAAATTGATTACAATAAAAGGTACAGAATATAAAGTTTCATGCTCATAGGATTGAACTCAACACAGTTTAGCAAACACATTTCATGGGTGACATTCATTTAAAGGTTTAGATATTGGCTAATAATGTTACTTACTGATGTGATCAATGGAGCCAGCACAAAACTTTCCATAGAATTTTTTGGCACCAAGGGCTTTGAGATCAGTGATGACAAAAGGCCAGAGATGCAGGACATTGTTTCGAGAGAAGCGATCCCTCTTCTCGACTACCACAACCTGAGCTCCAAGAAGCTGCGCTTCAATGGCCGTGCGCAGTCCACAGGGACCACACCCAATGATCAGCACCTGCATGAAAAGTAGGCAGTTTATTCTTGAGGTTTGATCCCCCGGTATCTGAGAATAATTTTAAACGGGCATAGAAGAATGGCATCTAGCATTGTAAACAGCTAGATGAAATAAAATGGTCCTCAAGAGTTACTTTGCAGAAACATGATTCCAGAACTATTCAACAAAAAAAAATAATAATAATAAAATGTGCATAATGACTGACCAGCTCTAAAAGAATTTTAGTACCTCAATAAACAACATACTAACCTTTGAATTGGCACAAGCTTTGCCATGATTGTAGCATTTTTGAGCAGCTCTCTTATCAAATTTTGCCCAGAGAGTTTGAGCCTTCCATGACTTGAGTTTGGCTCTGAGCTTAGGGTAAAACTGTCTGATGTTGCCAGGTCTGAGTTTGAGCAAGTCACAGATCTGACGGTGATGATGTAACACAGACTTGAATGTTGATGCAGCTATGAACTTTTCAAGCACCTCAGCTGCCAGTGCAGCTTCTGGTGATGCAGCACTAGATGCTGCAGTCTCACTCCCACCATTGTGCTGAGTGTGTTTGTACATCCTGCAAGAAAAACTCTAATGTAGCCATAGATGATATTTTTCCAGAAACAAAATGACAAGTTTACAATACAAAGAGATGAGTTAGTTAAAATTGAACTCCTACTATTATAGCATCATATGTGGTAAAATCACTTGCATAGATTGATACATAATCATATCTAGGATTTAACAATTTACCTATATTGCTATCCATTATTCAACCACAAATTCAATTAGAGTTAAGATTATGTCAAGTATTACTGTAATAAGGAACAAGAACTTGAATCTCAACTTCATGGAAAAGATCTATCATCTATATATACACTGCAGCGATAATGAAAAATGGTATTTCATAAAATATTTTTTCTTTAAAGGATAATAAATATTTTCAGTTTTCAAATTTAATGATAGTAATAAGTATATGTATATACATAATCTTTGACAAATTCAACTGAACCTTAATATTTTGAATTTTTCTAAAAACTGGCACTGGTTACCAACTTCAAGCAACTTATATTCAATAAATTAAATTAAAATTCAAGTCTTGTGAACTTTAAGCCACACATTCTGGGTTAACAGGAAATTATGGCTCCATAACGTGTAGGTACAATAAATTTGAAATTTACGCTATCAAGTCTTCTTTGAAATATTATATGTGGACAACTGAAATAGCAGCTGTATGTTTACACTGATGGCTTATATATACTTTTGCTGTTTTAGATAAATAGTCATTCAATATATTTTAGACCATTTGAATTTTAGATATTGACAAATTTTATCTAAAATTTATGACCATGTTGCAGTTTCATTTAGCGGTAAAAAAAATGTGATAGCCAACAGAGTGGCAACTAAAGAGCAGAAAAGCACAACTAAGAGTGGATGCCCTTCACAGACAGCTGACAGGGACACAACAAGAGTGCATACTACAAATAAGGCAATCTAATGGCAATCTAGTGTACCGTAACCTAATGCAATCTAATGCATTCTAATGCAATCTAATGCATTCTAATGCAATCTAATGCATTCTAATGCAATCTATAGCATTCTAATGCAATCTAATGCATTCTAATTCAATCTAATGCATTCTAATTCAATCTAATATAACCTAATACAATCTAATGCATTCAAATTCAAACTGACACTTTCTACTGCAATCTAAAGCATTCTAATGCAATCTTATGTAACCTAATGCAATGTAATGCAATCTAATGTAACCTAATGAAATCTAATGAAATCTAATGTACTCTAATTCAATTTAATGCCTTCTGGTGCATTCTAATGCATTGCAATGAAATCTAGTGCAATGAAGTCTAGTGCAATGAAATCTAGTGCAATCAAATAAAATCTCAATGCATTCTTGCACATTCTACTTCAGTCTATTTAATTTTACTGAATTAGGTTTGCTTGAATTGGGCTGGAATGATTTGATTAGGATTGAATTTGGTTGGGTTGAATTGAGTTGGGTGTGGTTGAATTGGGTTGAATCAAGTTGGAACAAGTTAAAATGGTTTTGGTTGAATATGGTTTAATTGACTTGAGTTTAATTGAATTTTGGTTGAATTGAGTTAGGTAGGGTTGAATTTGGTTGGATTGAATTGGGTTGGGTTGAATTGGTTTTGGTTGAATTGGATTGGGTTGAATTGGTTTTGGTTAGATTGGGATGGGTTTGGTTAGATTGGGTTGGGTTAAATATGGTTAGGATGAATTGGGTTGGGTTGCATTGGGAAGGATTGGGTTGATTTGAATTGGGATCAATTGGGTTGGGTTAAATTGGTTTGGGTTGTAATGGCTTGAATTGAAATGGTTAGGATTGGGTGAATTGGCTTTTGTTGTAATGGTTTGGATTGAATTGGTTAGGATTGCATTGGGTAGGGTTTGGTTGCATTGTGTTGGGTTCAGTTAGATTGGGTTGGTTCTGTTAGATTTGGTTGGGTTCAGTTAGATTAGGTTGTTTGAATTTGGTTGGGATGAATTGCATGTGGTTGAATTGGGTTGGCTTGGTTCAGGTGACTAGACTAATAATGTAGTCTGTTTATTTAAAATGATTTATCACAAGTTGCTTTGTTATCCATTGTCAGTGCCGTGAGGCTCTCTTTATGCAAGCATTCAAATACATGCACTTAGAACCATCGGAACTGCGCGCTACATCGAGTAGTTCTGGTGGCTCTGAGCATGTATGCTTGGATGCTCATATATATACACTCTCACAGCCATCAGAACTGCGCGCTACAGCGCGTAGTTCAGGTGGCTATGAGCGTGTATGCTTAGGTGCTCAAATGTAGCTCTTATAGCCAGGAACTGCGCGCTACAGCACGTAGTTCAGGTGGCTGTTAGGGTGGATGCTTGGGTGCTCAAATGTAGCTATCACAGACAACGGAACTGCACGCTACAGTGCATAGTTCAGGTGGCTATGAGCGCGTATGCTTGGGTGCTCAAATGTAGCTATCACAGACAACGGAACTGCATGCTACAGCGCGTAGTTCAGGTGGCTATGAGCGAGTATGCTTGGGTGATCAAATGTAGCTCTCACAGCCGCTGGAACTGCGCACTATAGCGCGTAGTTCAGGTGGCTATGAGCGTGCATGCTTGGGTGATCAAATGTAGCTCTAACAGCCAGGAACTGCACGCTATAGCCTGTAGTTCATGTGACTGTAAGGGCGTATGCTTGGGTGCTCAAATGTAGCTCTCACAGCCATTGGAACTGTGCACTACAGCGCGTAGTTCAGGTGGCTGTGAGCACGTATGCTTGGGTGCTCAAATGTAGCTCTCACCGCCATTGGAACTATGCGCTATGACATGTAGTTACGATCGTAGCATGTAGATTAATACGGCGCATTGGCCATATCGATTGTAAATCGCGATTTATGGAGAAGCATAATTGGCAACTGGCGTCCAGTGGCATCAACCTCGGCATCTTTGATGCATGAAATCGGCGTCCTCGACCTATGTTGTGCCATGCTTTACAGTCTGGGCCTTGGCCAAGTTGAGAAACAGGAGGCAGCAGCTGTTCACACGCGATTTCATAAAATCACCCATGAACAGTCAATTTTCACCTGCAATTTTAGAAAAGCTTAGGGAGGACAAAAATTTTATCCGCGATTTTTCAAATTTACCTGTAAAGATTCTATTTTCACCCACAATTTTTGGAAAAATTGCCCAAGATTCCAGTCTGGGTCATCTACATTTTACAGTGGCAGTGTGGAATTCCAGAGGGGTAATATATTAACTGGTAAACATAGCAAATCGGAAAGTAGGACCCAATAATCTGGAACGTCCAGCACACTTCCACTTTCAGTCCATCATCATCACTGGTGAGTCTTTGCTAGATGCCACAGCTGTTTCATTGAAAAAAACAGCGCTTGCATCATCACAGTAACAAGAATCCAATCAACGCTTTAACGCGTCCAACGTAACAGTCACAAGAATCCAATCAATGCTTGAATGCGTCCAACGTACTGTCACAGGGACCCAATTATCGCTAGAACGTGTGCAACATCACAGCCACTGGAATCCATCCAGCAATAGAAAGCTAGAAGGGACCGCCCCAAATGCACACAATGTTAACGCACTGATGCTAACATAATGCTACAATTCTTATTTCAAGAGCGTAATACAATAGTGTAGTTATGTCATTATTGATGGAAATTGCAAAGAATAACAACTTCACTATGTACAATCGCTCACAAAAATCAATCAATCAAATAAAATCATATGCATGAAAAACTGCCTATGATTCAATCCACAAATACAGAACTGACCACCAATGCAATCAGCTGAGACATACAATCTCCTTTCGTTGNAGAACATTTTTATGGTAATATTGTATCCTAGTTTTTAAATATAATATCTTTTAAATGCCCACCACAATTGTTTTGACAAAATAGGGCTCTTCTCTTCGTTGCTTTCATAACCTTCATTAGTGTTTCTGACGAGAGTGCAAATTTTTGATATCCGCAAATTTTCGATAAAGATATTTAAATGTGTTTTTTGAAGGATCCTTGTTTTGAAATGGATCCTGTAATCACGTTGAACTTCTGTTATTGACATCGTTATTGACTGTAGCGATAATTTTTGTTCTTTCTTCTTTGCTGTAGCGAATCATGATGAAAATTTAAGGCTTGATAATTAAACACAAATTTAGCAAGCTATACAGGATAATGACGTAACTATGATACAATATTACCATAAAAATGTTCTTTTAAATAAAACAAGTTTCAACTTCATAACGTTCTAAGTTTTTTTATTTATTAACAAATTAAAAGGGTTACTTAATTCTGGTTCACCCTGTATAAAGAAAAGACTAGAGAGGTGACGGAATTACCCACGCCCACGGTGTTGGAATATACCGCGTTTACCCTAGCTACCGTAACCGAAGCTGATTTCTGACGGCCTGCAACCCTGTTTCTCCACACTCAGGATTATGTATGTTTTCAGGGAATTTTCCCACGCATTTTGACTTTTTTCAAGCTATTGCGGCGCACAGTTGGTGCAACTTCTGGCCATCCCTGCTTGCACGCGCAAGCGTTGGCACAGCACGCGCAAGCATCGGCGCAGCACGCGCAAGCGTCGGCGTAGCACACACATACATTTTGTCAAGGGACAAGAGACAGAAAATGTATAATACTTAATAATTAATATGCATTTAATTATCCATCAATAACCTATGATTTTCCTTGATATGGAAATTTTGTGAAAGCAAAAATCTAGAAATTTATTTTCGAAGAAATTCTCTACAAATTTCTTATACCAACTGGCGAAATTTTTGACTTTCGAGTACTCAATTGACTATTGAGTCAATTCTAGTCAGTCAACTGTGAAGTGTCATGTTGTTTGTTGTACATTGCCTTTTCTTCGAGAAGTTTCTCCAACTGCCGATGAGTTTCTCCTCAATTTGAAAGCTGAGGTAACGAATAGGTGCCGTGAATGTTTTTATATTTAATTTGAAACTATTATTTTGGGAGTAAATAGTATTTCCTTTTGTAGATCCATCCCTCTTGCTCATCTGTGACGCGCGCAATTAACAATCTTGCATGGGACCTTCTCTGTGTTGCCTGACTTGACGTTCATACGATCATAGGGTAAACGCGGTATATTCCGACACATTAAGGATGCATCGAGAAATGAAAAACTATAAAAAATAATTGCATGCATTACTCGAGTTCTGTTTGCTTTATGTGACTCGCAAAACACCGTACTACGCGCCAGCAACAATGAAACGTCACAAAATGTTGCCATATTTATTTAAAAGCCTTTAGAATGCAAACCTACGGCCTACCAAATCCCTATATTCCGACACTGTGTGAGTGTGACTATATTAGGCACTTGGTGAGACACTGAGATGTATTCCGACCGCGCTTCAAATTGTACTAATACATAATTCCGACATCCACATGTTCGAATTCCGATTGCTGTGTGAGCTGTATTGGAATATGACACGGCTTTGAATTAGAAGTTTACTATTGAATATTGAGCACTACTTAATCTGTCTCTTATACACATCTAGATGTGTATAAGAGACAGATACTGAACTGTTTGAACATGTATTTTGGGTAGGTGTTAAGAATGCAAGGAATGCGGGTCAAAGCGATATAGCAAGTGTGTAAGGCATGGTTGTTTCGAGACNGGTATCCAGGATACTTTACTGGTCTACTTATAGGACTCAAAAATGAACTTGAGGGAGAGTCTAAAAAACTCTCTGCTTTGCCACTATGATATACAGATACAGTATAGTGTCTAAATAGGTATACCTACAGACTACAGAGTAGGCCTAAACAATAAACATTTTTAAGTAAAAGTACTTTACCGTTTGGTCATTACGAAAGCAAAAACTTTTTATAATCATATCCCCTCAAAAATACCAATACAGTTATAACAAAATGTTTCAAATTTTGACAATGACATTGAAGTAGAATGAATGAAAATTGAATACTAGGCTAAGTACTAACTAGCCAGACTCAATTTTAAAAAGAGCAAAAAAACTAAGGATACTTTTTACCGTATGCAACCGCATTATAAATGGAGCTATTTATTACTCACCCAAAATACTAAAAATTTATTTAATCGTGTCAACTGGCCATAATTTATATTTATCGATACAAAATAACACTATTTTCAAAATAAAACTGAATTAACTGCAAGCTTCTTTAAAATACAAACGAACATTACATCTTCGAACAGTGACCCCAGACACACCACGGCCACGATTTTGCCACTCAGCAAACAAACACACTAAGTTTCCCAAAATAATGTAAAATCGTTTAAAAATAGGCCTAGGAGAAAATTAAACCCTTCCTTTTGAGTTACAAAACAAATATTTTCAGGTGTTTATAAAAATTCATCGATACCCTTTATTTTATTACAAGTAAATGCCATATAAAATTCATCTGTGAATGATTTAATATGAAAGAAACGGGACGGAACAATACTAGCGAAATTGCCTCAACTTTGGAAAGACCCACTTATGAGTCAGACTTGCCAACCTTCTTCCTATCGAAAACATTAATAAACAAACCTATTCAAAGCTTAACATGAGATTAGAAAATGTGCACATACAACGTTTTCGATACAAATATTTGTTGCGAATAAAATTATCCGTCCAGACACGTTATTGCATGCAAAACACGCTTTTTGTCACGAAATGCAGCAATACATCCATCAACTCATAATACGAGTTTTTAAAGTTTTTTTTTAAGTTCAACATATAATCTCCTGTGCCGTGAAATGTGTTGCCGAAAACATTTATGAAATATTCAATCGCACAAGCTACTCGCAGCAAAGGAAATATTAATTGCATCCGTTCTATGCTTGTGCAATGCTTAACCCATTAATGCCGGGCGGTTCCATTTGGAACCAGCAGAAAAAAATGGATTCAAACGTATTATCCAATATGAATAACCTTGCTTGATTTACTATCGGAAAAAGTGTTGTTTGAAGAAACGTTATGTTAATGCCGAGCGGTTCCATATGGAACCAAGCTATATTTTTTCACATACAACGAAAAATAAATATATGAACATATTTTTCGTTTATTACCATCACAAATGATAATATTCTCACAAGGAACCCCCAAAAAATTCAGTAAATAATTCTCGTCATTAATGGGTTAATTCAATACCCAAACCAACAGAGTACACGCACAAAGTCAAAGTGGTACACTAATTCTATGTTTGGGCAATACTTGAATAGTAATAATGTTTTGGCAATACTTGTATAGTACGCGCATCAAATGTTAAACTGATTGCATCCCTTTTATGTTTGGGCAATACATGAATACTCAAACCCACCGAGTACGCGCACTATATGGTATTCTGATTACATTTGTTCCATACTTTTGCAAAACTTAATTAACTAATCAAACCTTCAAGCTTCTCGCACCGCATGTTAGGAATACTAATATATAGGCTGCAGACGTGCAGTACTTCAATTTGCTCCTTTGCACTCAGCGGGTGCACACTCGTCGTGAATGCGGCTTTTATCGATTCTCATGTGCCATACAGTACTTATCAACTCCAATCTACAATCTTCTGCCTGAAGAACGCACACAGTTATGGAAAGATCGGGTTCAAAAGACCGGATCCTTTGTGGAATCAAGTCACAAAAAGTACAGGGATCGGCAACAGGCCATGGGCTTATTTCTTCAGTGCCGACACTCCTGTTTTATTCTAATATTTACGCCTCAGGAGACATCGGGATACATACGGCCACCACTATTATATCATGTATAAGATTGATAGTGATAGGGTATCGTTTCAGGTGAACTGGAGTTGACGTTGACTTAAAATTCAAGTTAAAACTGGCTTCATTTCAAACAACTTCTATGAAAATAGACCGAAAAATCTTACTTATGCAAAATTTCCTTGAAATTGGGTGTGTGCTGACCTCCGGTCACGACCTTTAAATCGGTCATTCACGCTGCATAGAAGCTCTTTTAGTCTTTTACTAGCGTAAAAAACCCGCGCCTCGCCAATCTTGGTACACTGGAGCTATACTAAGAGCACTTTTTGCCCTCATGTGTTGGTGCCCTCATTTTGATAGTGACTTCGAATCTTAATTCCGCACCAAAGAATGGGCAACTCAGACGTCGTCCACCGCATGTAGATTGGGTCTCTATAAACAAAATTAGCGGAGCCTCACATACACGACATACATACGACATTCACCAGATGCAAGCGATCAGTCACATGCAGGCTATATCAATCATATAGGTCATTTTTTCGTCACAAGGAAACGATCACTTATTCGCCACATGCTTCCGATCACTTGTTCGCCACATGCAACCGATCACTTATTCGCCTCAAGCACACGATTAATTATTCGCCATACACATACGATTAATTACTCGTCACGGGCAAACGATCACTTATTCGCCACGCGTGAGCGATCATCTATTCGCCACATGCACACGATTAATTTTTCGCCATACATATACGATCAATTATTCGCCACATGCGATGGATCACTTATTAGTTATTCGCCACGTGCATACGATTAGTTATTCGCCATGTACAGACGATCAATTATTCGTCACGTGCGAGTGATCATTCATTCGCCACTTGCACATGATTCGCCATATTTATACGATCGACTATTCGCCTTCTGTAAACGATCAATTATTCACCGCAATCGATCAATTATTCGTCAACTATTAGCCAATCAATCAACTATTCGCCACATACTATCGTACACATATAACGATCATTTATCCGTCGCTCAAGAACGACCGCAGAAATGCACCGGGAATAAAATGATAAAATATAAGCCATTAAAATATATGTTTTCTTACAAGTTTAAATTTGATTACACGGGTCTGAAACAAATCTGAAAATTGTTTATTTTTCTGAAAGGGTGACTGTTTTCTGCACTGATTTCATTTTGGGTCACGATAACTTCAATTAGTACCTTGAAAGGCCATTAATTTGAATTGATTTCTCATTTTACATTGAATTAAATGTCTATAGCACCTCACTTCCCACCACAATATCGATGAATTTTTTTATAATTTTTAACGACGTCAATATTTTAAGCTTTCCGTTTCCATGTTATGCGATTTATAAAGAGTGGAAGTGCACATCCAGCTCTAATAAGTGTTCATGGAATCATGGACATGGTATAACGTATTCTGTTCTAACCGTTGAGGCAAGAGGTTCTTTGTGCTGAGCTCCCGTGACAGTAGCGGCGTAGCCGGCTTCGGCTGGCTGCTATTTGCTCAGTCATCTTTCTGGAACTATCTTTCTCGAACTTTGAAAATGCCGTACTGTCCGTGTCCCGCTCCGAGGCTTTGAGCCGGCGGAAGTTACGACCAGCTAAAGGGAAGTTTAACTCCTGAACACCTATAAATGCTCCCGTCATGTAAGTTTGTAACTGCCAAATTCGATACAAAGATTTTAAGATGCCTCCATGTGTGGCTACTGCCCCCGGGTTCGTGGTTAATGCCCCCAGGTGAGTGGTTGGTGACTTGGTGTCCCCAGCCTCCAGGTAGTGGTTAGTGTCCCCAGGTGATTGGTTAGTGTCCCCAGGTGAGTGCCACTGAGTGGTTAGTGTCCCCAGCCAGACCCCAGGTAGTGGTTAGTGTCCCCAGCCCCCAGGTAGTGGTTAGTGTCCCCAGGAAGTGGTTAGAGACTTAGAGTCCCCAGGTGATGGTGAGTGGTTAGTGTCCTCAGCCTCCAGGTGAGTGGTTAGTGTCCCCACTCCCCAGGTTCCTGGGCCTGGTGTGGGACTGTGTGGGCCATGGGGCTATCTGCCCTGGAGTGGGACTTTCTGCCCTGGAAGCTCTGCTGGCGAGGTGATCCATGAGAGGAAGGCTGGTGAACCAGTTGTCAAAGTACAAGATGTGATTCATTTGTGACAGAATTACCTGAGAGGCTGAGCAAGGTGAAGAACAATATTACCACTTAGTTTGACGTCAGGAATATTTGGGGCGTCAACTGGCTCGGTCTTACCCGTGTATGGGTCCGATGAACTGATGAAGTCTTGTATTATTCCTTTTGCGTCAGCCAGAACAAATATCTTATATCCCCTTTTATGTGGCTTACTTGGGATATAATTGCTTCAGTTGGCTTCCCTCTTTGAAGGGAATAAGTTCATCAATGCAGTGGAGAGCCTGGTGTTCCCTCCCAGTGACAAACAATAAGTAATACAAAAATGTTTATTTTAAAGTTAAAGGAGAAACCGGATACATCAAACATGACCTAGATTCACGAGAACAGCTTATAAAATTTGCAGCACCATAACTCGCCATTGTTTTCATCCAAGATGGCAAACTGGAACATAATTGTCACACCTCCGACCCTTGAAATGTAAAACCATCCGCAGTCCACTGAGCATGAAACCACTTCCATTGACAGTTGCTGCTGTGTACGACAACTTTAACATGTTCTCTGCAGGGAACAACTGTCATCAGGTTGCTACAGTCAATAACTGGCGCATAATTTCAATGTAAAAGTTATGTTCTGGGACAGTGACACGGGGCGGTTGTGGTACCAATGGAACAGCCATTGCTTAGCCAATCGCAGTCTGGATAACATGACATCATGATCCCATAACCAGTCACAACCTGGATTGCACGAGATCATGATTCTATCAGCCAATCAGTCTTGAGAGGATGATATCATGATCCCATCAACCAATCACAGTGTAGAAAGAATGACACCTCAACCAATCACAGATGGGAGATGACATGACTCCGCCCATTCACAGATGGGAGATGACATGACTCCACCCACATGTACCTTTGAGCACTATATTTTAAAATTCCACCATGGGCGGTAGAGGGTTAAATCACACCTGAATGCTGAATTGCCTGAACCACAAGGCAGTTCAATGGTGGGCGCTAAACCTGCATTGCTGCAGTGCTATTACAGCCATTTCTTCATTCTTGATCACGTAAGTTGGATATATATGAGTGTAAGAAGGCAAAGGACCACTATCAAAATTTGAAATCAGATTTCAAGAATTGTCAATATTTTTTCATGAGAAGGGGGATGAAGATGGTATTGCCTATTTTGACAAATAGGACCAAAAAATAATATAGCCCATTATAGGCATTTTTATCAATTTTTATCCACAAATCCTGATTGTCAGAGGGAGTGATGATCCTATTTTAGTCTTACTCTTTGACCTGAAACTGGCTGAAAGAACATAGGTGGCTAGGCAAAATGTCATGACGTAGGTATTCATTCATCATTGTATTGTGAACCTTTATTTCATGAAAAAATGTGATATGAATTGCCCTTTCCAGAGTTCTTAAAGTTGGGAAAAGAGCATGAGGAGCAACAATTAATGTGAAAGATCAACACAAACTGACAAAGAGTTAAGACTTAAGAGCATAGAGTTAGAAAAAAATAAGCCCTGTTCTGTTCTCTCAGTTTATAGCTCTAGTGGCACTGGCAAACCATGTTTTTTTTTTTAGAAAGTAACAAGTTCATTCTTAATTCTGTGAATTGAAATGAAGTGAACTTGGCAAGTTGGCAGCTGTATGCTGTTGCTATTTCCAATTTTAAGATAAATGTGTCAACAAGATTTTCTGGAGATAAATGTGTCAACAAGACCCAAATTTGAAAATAAGGTGTTTCCAAAGATATCTAGATATTCACTCACTTTCTGCACCCTGGATTAGTGACCCATAATAGTTGATTTAATGGTGTTTCACACTTCACTTTAGCCTTAGGTTCTAACTTTGAATAATTGAAAAATTTATCAATATAAACAAAGCTCAAGTGGGCTTAGTCATTTTATAATTTATAACTATTTCTCATGCCACTCCAACTCCCGTCTTCACCAGCTCAGAGTACTACGTACATCAGGTCCTAAAAGAAATAGGTAATCATTTTGTATGACCTTCTGCCTTTTCTGTGAAATGAAGCTTTATTAGGCTTTTCTCCATAATGGAACTTATCTCGTAGAAGACGACATTTGCATATTCTGTTGGCTTGTTGCAGTCTGACCTTGCAGGTGGCAATTGATCTTCAAATGAACAATGGAAGATTATTTGCCCGTTTTGCAAATACTTGAGAGAAATATTACTGATCTCTGGCCCCACATTCTTAATGGAATCAACAATGCCTCCTTCATTGCCTTGGACATAGTAAGTAAATTTTGTGTTAAGCCCTCTGCCAAAAAACTATGGCCTGTTAGGCCCACTGATGAAAGACAGATTGTTTTTTATTTGATGTTCCCTTGAAGAACTTCAATGACAAAATTAGTATATACAAATGGGATTTTTCACATAATTGATTTATTAGGTACTTGCATGAATTCATTGTTTCAGGTATTGACTATGAAATCAAGAGTTTTTATGTCAATTATGTAATTATTCTAACCTGTTAGTACCACTAAGCATTGTACCTATTCTTAAGTTAACAGCGCCAAAATAACCCCATTTTATAAAAGCTTTGAATGTCACTTAATGAAAGACATGCAGTTATATGTAGAACCAATTTTAGGATTCTTGAATTAATGTGAAGGTATTTTTACTAATCAGTCAGTTGTTCATGACTTCCCCTTGATATTTTTATAAAAATTCATGAGCTTTTAACTTAAGTTAATTGAAATGACTTGAAATTCTATTTTAATTTACATCATATAAATAAAACATGTTGCATTTGTCATCTAAATCTGTATTTTTTTTTACAGGAGATGAGTGGCTTGGGTGATAGGAATAAATTATTCTACCCTGAAATGGACATCCGCTACAAATATATGACCGAGTTGGCTCGTTCTTTTGCTCCTCTGTCACTTGGCATCTGCTGCTTCAAATGCACTCACGCTGGTTAGTAATTTTTTAATAAAGAATGAAATACATTTGTTCCTCCAGTTTCTGTGGACATCACTTTTCTAAAATATGTTTTTAGAATTTATACAAATAGAATATTTGATTTCATTGTTAGTCAAATTTTTTTGATATTATTAACAAACCTTGTATTCATTGTGAATGAAGCATTTCAGTTAAACTCAGTTGCATTTTTATCCAATATTAAGGCAGTAACAGATCACACACAATTTCCAACATACCTACTGTGCTTACAGGCACCCGGTACTTGGTGGAAACTTATGACTTGCTGGTCATGAGTAAGCAGTTATTCAGCGTTCAAGCTGACTCCCTCAAGTTTTTACGAGGTCATGGGTTTGACTTCAACAAGCTCATAGAGAGCAGTCTTCCCTATACACCTGGCAATGACCTACCTGTAGGTGATGCTATTTTAGTATTGATATGAAGATACAAGTTTTCTTGGCAGAATGATGTATAAATGTGACTAGTACATTGTTGATAGGTCTTTATCAAAATTTGCATTGTTAACGGTTCATTATTTGGCTTTAGTTTGAATTATGAATACTGCTGATCATTTGCTCTTATTTTCAAGAAATTTTCATATCCTTACACTTTACTATGTATTCTATAAATTTTTATAAATGACTGTTAGTTTGGAAATTTGGAGTTTGAAACCAAATTTGATAATATCACCATCTCTAAATTAGTATTCTGATAAATTTAACAAAATATTTTTCATTATGTTCAAATCTATTTCATTCATGATGATTACATTATGGTGAAATAAATTTGCCAATTTCTTTACAGGCTTGCGGCTCAGAGTCAAAGGAAAAAAATAGGCAGCCAAAGCAAAAAATATCTTCAAAGTCTTCGGATAACAATTCCATTGCAAGTTCAGACGGAGAAAGTTTTGCCAGTTGGTCCCCTAGTGTCCGAAATTTAATGAAGGCAATCATCAAGTGTAAGAAGCCCTTGGTTCTGCACAATGGGCTAGTGGACTTAACCTTCTTGTATCAACATTTTTATGCAGAGTTACCAAGAAATAGTGAATCGTTTGCTGCAGATTTGTCAGAAATGTTTCCAATGGGCATTTATGATACAAAATATATTGCGGATTATGTCTACAGAGACACTGCTACCTACCTGCAGTTTGTTTACATTCAGGAGTAAGTGTGAAGCATTTTTTTAGGACGTGCACTATTACATTAAAAATATTTTCATTAATACTTTGTTTATACATATTTGGATTTTTCTGTTGAAAAATTACATAATTATTGAAATATTTATGATTGCCTCAAAGCAGATGTTGCATTGTTGGTGGAAGACCCATTGATACCATTGTTGCTAATCTGTAAAATCTGTAAATTCACCGTGAAATCTAGTCGAAAAAATCTTTCAACCATTTTATTTTTATTTTAAAAGCAGTGGTAAATTTAATTTCATTGATTCAAAATCTAGCATTTGATTTTACTGTTTTCACGCAGGCATTTACTGAACTCAATGGCGGCTGATGAAGACAAGCCTTCAATATCAACAGATTTCTCAGCAGGCTTCACTGCTCTTCCTGGACTTCAGCATTACAGTCTTCAACCAAAGAAATGTCCCAATGATCCAACAGCTGAAACAAAACCCGTGTGTTCAAATTTTTCTGTGAGTCTTCTAGCAAGTTCATTTCAATGTAACTATTTACTTTCGGTTAATATTCTCTTGATGCTTTAAATATTTGCCTCATAACTGATGCCAATTCAGGCATGTTGCTTCAGACATTTCACTGCACATTTGTTTTCTTGTGCATCAAATAATTAAACTATTGCTTCTCCCTTGATATTTTAAAATTAGATTCTTAGGTTAACAATAGTTTTAGGTATATGTTGAGGACATGTTATGAGTCTCGAGAAAACAGCTTGTACTTTTTTTAGTTTCACGGCTGGTGTGAGTTGGGAGATTCGTGTCCTCGCAGTCACGACCTGCTGCGCATTGTAAAAGAAAGGCTCTTCAAAAACATCCCTGCAGGCAGGCGCAAACTCAAGAACCTCAACCGACACGTGAGTGGTGGTCCTAACAGCACCGGAACAAATGCTATGCTCATGTCTGCACTCAAACACAACGCCCATCACCAAAAAATACGCACTGAAAAGAATGCTAGTTCTTTGACCGTAAGTGCAGGAAAATCCAAGTTGAAAGACCAAATTAAAGAAACCAAAAATGTGGATGTTTGTCTGGGTGAAAACGCGAAGATGATTAACGATGATAAATCAAATGGGTTGTGCGGAAAATCTCGAGTTATGGAGGTTACTTCAAGTGATGAACAAGTGAAAGATGAAAAGAAATCTACCCTTGGAAATGAGACGAAGAGAAGTCGACGTGATGATGACGAGGTAAAGCATTCTGACGCGCAAAAATCAAGTGTAAATGGTGAAAACAGTTCAGAAATTTTATCTTCTGCTTCCAACTGCTTTACTAAAGGTTCACCAAGCTCTAATTTGGTTTTTGGTAACTCAAATAATATGTCTTTCAATGACAACAATGGTCATGAAATCAAAATTCCCGATGAGCAGAGAACCACTATAAGAAGCTCAGCATCAGAAGGCCACAGCGCAGGCATTGATGCTTTCATGACAGCTTATGTATTTGCATCTTACATCAACAGAGCAAATAATTTAAAGCTATCTCACAACCCTTCATCCATTAATAGCGACGTTGAAGCAGCTCAATTGGACTTTTCTCCAGAATCTCTGGGCTTGTGCTCGGAGGTGAATAAAATTTATCTTATGGGTAAAAGTTTTCCTTTTCTCGTGAGGAAATCGCCTTTTGCTAAGCATTCTAAGTCACACATAGAAAAAATTCAGTCTCTGAGATGAGGGTGAAGCCTTGTCTTCAAATTTCGTTATTATTAGGCTCGGTAATAAATATCTTTGTGTCTCCGAAGTTTTTGTTGCTAAAAGCTGTGTACTTGCGTGATAGTTTCAAGTATGTCTCTATTGAACGAATTATATCGTCAAGATATTCGCTGTCTGAAATGCAAGTTTTTATTCTTGATCCCATATATAGCATTTCTAAAACGGAACTTTTTTCTGGCCTTCATTAATGTGTATTTTTATGGGGTGTTTATTTATCGTTTTTCATCTACTTCTACACAATGTTGAGTTCACTCCGTTCTTCATGGAGTCAGAAATACTGCTCAAGTGTTTAACCCTCTACCGCCGAATGTCACTCTTCGGGAACATAACTTTCAACGTAAATATGTAAAGAATTGAGTGCAGCAGCACCCTGAGGACGTTTGTACGCAACGGAGAATATTTTTAACACGTTGACTCCGAAGTGGTACATATGCGTACCACGAAATGTATTTCTCCAGGACGAAGTGGTGCATAATTCAGGTTGCCTAAATCGGCCAAATCCGAGAACAAAAAAGGCCGATAACCCAATATATACTGGTTTATTTGTAGGTTCCACTATAAAAATTCCATTCATTTTCTTTTTGCAGTATTTAAAATTTAATTAGGAAGTACCCCCATCATAAATTTTAGCTGGCCAACTCAATTGAGAAAAACTAAATCACGGAATTTGTCCGGAAAAAATGACCGTCTGGCAACCCTGTTCAAAAACAGTACAAAAAATGAAATGATAGTACAAGATGAAGCAATCGTAGTCAACGTGTTAAGTTGTGTGGCGGCAACCATCGGTGCAAGTCCTTTTGCGCTCACCAGCAACATCTGCTTTTTGGGTAGGCTTGTGACAATATTGCTCCTGTTACTTATGTCAGGCGGTAGAGGGTTAAGACGATTTGTATATACTTGATGCTGATTGAATTCAGCATTTCGTGTTCTGTGCGTGCATGAGCGGTTCAATGTTCAATTATAACTAAAAACCTCACGTGCAAGAAGTGAGACTCGTTTTCAAGTTTGCAGCGTTTAATACGGGAATTTTAAAATGAATGTGAATGGTAACACAATTTTTATGGTTTTTATCGGATAACGATTCTTAGTTACAATGAGAAATATGCTAGAACAATTGTTTAATGAATTCAATTTTGAATCAACAAGACCAAGAAAAAATATGACCAAAATCTGTATCCTTATGTTACATGAGAAACGCATTAGATTACATCAGACGGAAGGAGTAAATAAATTGCCAAGAATGATTGGAATTATACTGTATATAAATTAGAAAATTGCTTAACATTAAGAACTGTACGGACCAATAGGAACTTCTACTACTTAATGAATATTCTTTGGCTACCAACGGAATGTACGTTCAATACTTAACCTAATTTTAAATATCATTTCAGTGATCTTTCTAATTCCCGTTGACAAATGAATTATACGGAGAAATGAAGTGCATGGAAATCATATGGTGAGAAAGTTCTTTACTGTCAAATGATGGAAACATTCGATGTCAAAGAGATAACACGTGGCTGGTTTTGAATCAACTTGGAATCACGACATCTACATTATGAACAGATTTTAGAACGTGGAAAACGTTTCGGTAAGTGAAATGTGGAAAAATTCCACGCCGAGAGGTTATTCAACGGTGGAAGAGACTTTCTCAGTTCAGAGAGTGAGTATAGTGAATGCATGCATACCAAAAGCAATACTTCACCAGTACAGTTTCGAACTTGCGATACCTGTAATCCGATGATTAAAACTGTATAATCTGACTAAATAACGGCTCCTTAAACTTGAGAATCTCTACACATCAACCAACAACGAGCAGTGGCGAGGAATGCAGAAGTTTGGTAGAGGCCACCATTATTTACCACTTCAGTAGACTTTTCACTCTCACCATCTAGCATAGATTTTTCCAAGCAACAATTTACTAGTAAAAGTAGATCAATTGAATAAAATTGGTTCGTCTTAATCAGACCGGCAAACTTTGCCATCTATGTACAAATTTACACACGAAACAAAACCTGGTAAGAGATGAGACGTCGTAAACCGCGGCTGATTAACAAGTGATGTGATTATCTACACGAGTTGATGGTTAATTACTCCAGTGAAATCGATTAACACTCAAAGGGTTTTTAAATCGTGTAAACATGGTTTTGAAGACAATTCTAGGACTCTCAAACATCTCACAATTTACATGAATGAAGTACCTATAGGAATATAAAATCCTCATCAGGCATCATTTAATGCTGAAGATCTCGCCATGAAGAAAACTCCAACCACCATGAACAAACCTCATGAACCGATTGTTGAGTAAAGGAAGCCTTGTGAATTGGCGAGTTACAGTACAGGCCCAGTGTTTACAGTTCAGAGTACCAGCTTGGCGCACAGAGGCGCGGGTTCGATCCCAGCTCTGTGCGCCAGTTTCTGGTCAGAATCGGCAAGGAGGCCGAGCGGTTAAGCACAACAGAATTGTAGCACGAAGTTGCGAGTTCGAGACGGCAATATGCTGTGAATGTTCAGCGATGTTCAGAATCGGCGACAGGCCTACGGCCTACTAAACGCTGAAACCGCTATTATTAAGTCTTGCAGTCCATAGAAAAGTTTCGTAGGCATCAACCAACACCGAGAATAGTTGGAAACTCTGGGAAATCTTGTGACGTGTGCCCTCAACACGCGGCCAGATTATTGCAGGAGCTGAGTGGTCCGTGGCTGGGGGAGCTGTGAGCGAGCTGTTGAGGTAGAGTCGCTGGGGGGACTGAGGAGTTCTGCGGACAGCTTTCAGGTGTGGCCGCTTCAAGTGCTGATAGTTCTATCCAAAATAATGGGAATTATTGCATGCTATTCACGTTTTCTAAGACGTTTAACAACAATTCTCACGGTTTCAGCTCGTTAGAAAGTTAAATTTTTGTTGCAACGTCAAGAGGCGAAAGAAAGTCTAGCCAAATGCTCGAAGCGATTTGACGAGACAAAATAATTTTAGGAGACAATTCTCTTACCACCATAGATTCAAGCTAGAAGTGTATAAGCACGATTTCTCTAGCAATAGCTACCGGAAAAAAACACTATATAAAAAATTAATTACATCAAGTGGGGATATTATTAACCTGGTGTTGTAGCAAGCAGCACATCAGGAGCTGACACAGGAACTGATGTTTCGCTGACGCCAGTAGCAGTAGCAGTAATGCTGCTGACCGAGGGCACGGTAGCAGGCAGGTTACTGCTAGGCCCTGGCGACGCGGCTGTCTTGTTCAGGACACTCGACCACCAACCAAACACGGCGTACCACGCTAACGCTGCAGCAAGGATTGCATCATAGCATTAAATAGTGATGTCGGCGCTGAGGAGTAGGCCTGATGTGTGGCGCCGATTTTTTAACTTTTCGTCACTTGTCCACAGGAGATCTAAAAAAAGGTCTGTTTTCAGATCTACTGAAATAGTAACTAGAATAGTAAAGTAATAGTTTGAAATAGTAACTAGACTTCCACCGGTTTCGATACGGTGCTAGGCATTTCAAGTCTGAACATATATTTCTCCATATATTTCCGAGAGCCATTTTGAAACAGTTTTGCGAAACACATCTTAAGAAACCTAGTCTTATTTGAAAACAAATCGTGCGCTTTTGATATTGTGAACTAGGCAGACAAGTTGCTACATCTTGTTTGTTGGATAGCATCATAGCATTAAATAGTGATGTCGGCGCTGAGGAGTAGGCTTGATGTGTGGCGCCGATTTTTTAACTTTTCGTCACTTGTCCACAGGAGATCTAAAAACAGGTCTGTTTTTAGATCTACTGAAATAGTTTGAAATAGTAACTAGAATAATAACGTAATAGTTTGAAATAGTAACTAGACTTCCACCGGTTTCGATACAGTGCTAGGCATTTCAAGTCTGAACATACATTTCTCCATATATTTCCGAGAGCCATTTGAAACAATTTTGCGAAACACATCTTAAGAAACCTAGTCTTATTTGAGAACAAATCGTGCGCTTTTGATATTTTGAACTAGGCAGACAAGTTGCTACATCTTGTTTGTTGGATATGCTGTTGGAAATAATAAATGAGAAGTGCCAAAACAGCAAATTTCTGGCCAGTAAAATGAAGTCTGGTGCGAAGGTTAGGCAGAAATTTGTGTATTATTAGAGTCAATATAAAAATCAGATGTTCATATTGCTATCGCAAATAGAAGCGAAAACCCAAAATTCTCACCTGCACCGAAGTAAGAAGCTAAATAAGGTGCAACTTGCGGCACAAGCTGCAGCAACAACAATAACGCCAACAGGAGCACAGATGCTGGCACCCATGGGGCGCCTGGCAGACAGAAAGCCACGCCTGTGGGCGACACGAGCACCGGCAACCGCGACAAGATGAACAGCAACAAGAAAGACATGAGCGTTGTTAGCGCCACACAAGTGATGACCGTCGTTGACATGGGGGCGTACAACAGCAGGCCTGGGAAAGACGGCGTCCTTTAGTAAATTATAGCAAATGGCAAACAAAATACATTTTTGGAATGATCCAGATTCGCAAATTCGTAAGGGCATTAGTTCGTCAACTTATTAGCTAACAATTTTAAAACACAGTTAAATGATTAAAATCATAAAATAGTGTGAAAATAGTACAGTGGAATATATAAGGATAGAGATAGAAAGAGTTTCAATAGCACCATAGCTTCCATCCTTTACTTTTCATACTTTTCAACGAGGGCCGTCATATACTAAAATTGTACAAGGTTTTCCTCGTTAATCATTCGTCATCGCAAATCCTAGATTCAAAACATCCAAGTGCTTGCAATTGTACATTCTCAATTTTGATACCCGCTCGTCATAATATATTCTGGATGCACATCAGCTTGTTAATTACAATGATTCTCTCCCACACTCACCGACGACAAGAGCAAAGCACAGCACAACCGCCACGCACAGCGCCAGCGCGCGTCTGGCAGAGTGAGGTGTGGGCGGCGGCTTTATAGCCGTGCCGCGCGTGGTGACCCGCAGCCTCTCCCTGTACCAGGCAACCGCGGCGTCCACGTCGCTGTTGTCAGAGTCTGAGCCGTAGCCTGAACACGACGTCGACTCGAGGCTGTGGCCTGCGCTGCTGGGGTCGTGGCGGGGGCTGTCAAAAGGCCCACCTCCGATTTCCAGAAGAGGCGTCCCGTCGCTGTCTTCAGCGGTGCCGCCACTCTGGGTTATCGACACCGCGATGTTCTGCAGACCTTCCTGATGGAGGAGGCAACACAAGGGTTATTTATGGTAGTGTCCTCTTTATGCGATCAATAGGATCGACGGTCATAAACCGTCAGTAAAAACAAAGTATGAGAATAATGTAAGACAGATAATACGTGTTAATGCAAACGAAATAATGTAATGAAATAGTCTGTTTGTGTGACCAAATACTTGAAGAGCTAAAACGGTAAACACTACGTAAAAATAAAAATATTGAATAAGTATCCAACTAAAATTGTAAACACATTGTAAAATTGTAAATTGTAATTGTATTCATACCAGCTTGCCAATTAAAAACTAACTGATGTTTCTAAATATCTCGGGTTCTCTATCACTTTAATAATAGAACAAATCGTCAGACAGGAAGTTTTCATATAAAGCCTCAATTAAACTTACATAGATTGTAAACTCTGACACAGAAAGCTCATATCTTAACTTAGAAAAACGAGAAATCTCGATCTTAGGTATTGATATTAACATATACACATTCTTGCTGGTAGTGCGACCAAGTCTCACCCTGAAGGAGGCGATGTTGTAGGAGTGCGGCACGGAGTAGGTGTGTGGGGCGGTAGGAGTTCTTGGTGTTGGTGTGGTTGAGAAGAGCGGAGCATAGCAGCAGCGATGGCGCCGGTACATGGTTGCAAATACTACCACCACGTCTACAACCAGGATACCGCAGCTTCCGGCCTGATCGTTGACATTAAAAAAAACACTTTAAAGGGAAATGTGAGTGGAAATCTGTATAAATTTAAGATTGGTAATGCATTTGGAAAGCTAGAACCAAAGAATTCACGAAAAAAATAAAAATATATCAATAAAAAACTGCAAGAGTTGAAGAACACGGAAAAATAACCAAGTGCAAAGGCGATAAGTATGTGATGGTCGCTTGAACCCCAAATAGAAACCAGGAATATTGAACAAAATAGCCTGATATATACAATCATTGTAAGTGTCAAGTATAATGATGAGTGATATAATAATAATAAATAATATCGCGGTTTCAGCGTTCATTAGGCCGTAGGCCTGTCACCAATTCTTAACATCGCAGAGTATTCACAGCTTTTCGCGGTCTCGAACGCGCAATTCACTGCGACAATTATGCTGTGCAGAATTTTTGTTGCCGATTCTGTTGTCCTCCTTGCCGATTCTGACCAGAAACTGGCGCACAGAGCTGGGATCGAACCCGCACCTCTCTGCTCCAATCCATAACATGAAATCCTCGTTGAAGACAGTATTTTATCTTGTATGAACTAATTTCCAAAGACATGTAAGATCAAATTCAGTGATGAACTGAAATTAAGTTCATACCGTCACTTGAATTACTAGAATTACATGCGGTTATTCGATGAAGCAACATACAGTTTCCGGGGCAAAATTTAGACGAAGGTAAGAACGAAGTGCAAGCAGAAACCCAGACTGGAGTTTTTCTAGAACCTGCAGAAGGGTGAGAATGCAAGTAAGAACGGTCAGAACCTGTAGGAGGGTACTGAGCTGCATCAGCAGTGCTGGCAGCGCTGTCAGCACGCCGGTGACCAGGGCAGCACCGGTGCTGGCATGAGAAAAACCGGCACTCGACTGCCAGCACTGACGGCAACAGCCCGTCTTCTGACAGCTCGCTGATGAGTTTGGCCATTGCGTCCATACCTTCTACCAGCGCCAGCCCGAGCAACACTACCTGAATAAATAGTTGAATAATTCGATATTCATGACATAATTGTGGGGTAATATACAAGGTAGTCTGATCAACAAAACCGAGATAAAGAACAAACATCGATGAAAAACAATGAAGCGAGCTCAAAAATACGTCGAAAATTTATTGGTCAGTGCAAAACATTGCAAGAGAAGTCAAAAGTTATTGGTCAGTGCAAAACGTTGCGAGAAAGCTGAAATAACCGCGTTCCTCTGAATTCTCGACGCTGCAGATATGAACACATTGACAACTGCACTCAGAGAAACGAGTCCAGATAGTGATACACTTTCTGCCCGTGTGTGGGTCATCCTGACCCAGTTAGGCCCGTGAAAAGCGAGTATTAATGCTACGTCTGCTCTTTGCTCCTGTTGTGGTTAATAAAATGAGCCACTATTTGAACAATATGACTTCTTCATTCGTCTGAGTGTGAGTGAGCGAATCCAATTAATGCAAGACAAAGAAAAAAGGCCTCATTCTTCATTATTTTTTCTTCACTCTACAGTGACTCCATGTTCGATGAAAGGGAAGAGTCCTTAATCCTTGACGGAATGTAGATTCCATCAGGGCATCTGACGGTAAAATGACGTTCATTTTGTTGCAGCGATATAGCAACTCTTTATCAACGTTGTTTTCATCGTCGTTCGACTTGAGGGTTATAATACTTTATATAACTCATACATGAGTTATGACTAACACTAAAGTCATGACTCACACTCAAGTCATGACTCACACACTCAAGTCATGACTCACACACAGCCCGTCTTCTGACAGCTCGCTGATGAGTTTGGCCATTGCGTCCATACCTTCCACCAGCGCCAGTCCGAGCAACACGACCTGAATACAGAGTTGAATAAATTCGATATTCATAACATAATTGTGGGGTAATATACGAGAAAGTCTGATCATCAAAACCAAGATATGAACAAACAAGTCAAGTCATGACTCACACTCAAGTCATGACTCACACTCAAGTCATGACTCACACTCAAGTCATGACTCACACACTCAAGTCATGACTCACACTCACAAGTCATGACTCACACTCAAGTCATGACTCACACTCAAGTCATGACTCACACACTCAAGTCATGACTCACACAC